CCGTGTCTGTGGCCCCATGTGAAGAAGGCAGTCAGATAGCTGAATTGCATTTTTTTGAAAACTAGAAAACAGCCTGTTTTCACTCCCCTCAATGAATGAGTGTTGTTTGTCACAGTGTTAAAAGGTCAACACAGCCAATAAATATCCCTGAGTGCTACCACTATGTCCCTTTGTGATCATGAGGGACAATTTAGAAAATGCTTGAATAGCTGGAGAGCTCTCTCAGGGTCAATGGAAGATGTTGTCTAGGGAAGAAAACCAAAAGGAATTGCACTGAATAAATCCCATGCATATTGAACCCTGAGGAACACTTTGCAAGCACCCTGCCTGTCCATGGTGCTTGCATCGATTTCTATGGTAGAAAGCAAATGGACTGTAACCCAAACACTCTTGTGGAAGGGGCATAACATATCCCCCATCCCTGATGCTGTGAGTACTGGTGTCCATTGAAGTGTCAGGTCCTGCCCCCCCAGCCCCACTTCCGATCTTATTCTTGTTGGCAAACCCTTCACTCACCTGCCTCACAAGTCAATGACGCTCATTGTCTTCTAGGAAAGACAATTGCCATAAGCCACAGATATATTAATCTGCCATACTTTCATCTATGAAATGTCAAACATATGGTAGCTGGTGATTGTATTTACTCAGTGCATAAATTCATTTGTGGCATTTAAAATAAAAATACAGCACCCACTGCAATGTCATATCTACTGCATAATTTTATATTCTCCCCAGAACATGTTTCCAAATAAACACCTGTGGTACTTTAACGCCGCTGCCCCCCACTGTTCGACAGTACGGTGCAGAAACAAGGCGTGTTTCAAAAATCTAATCCCAATCTGTTTTTCTTCCTGGGCAGAGGGAAAAAGAAAGGCACTTCTTCAAGCAACAGCCAATAAAACCTTCTGGCGTTAGAAACATTGTACCAATGTCACAAATGTGGGAGCGTATTTGTTCATACCAGCATGAACTGGCTCTGTGGCAGTCCAGCCATCACGAAACAGTTGGAACAGACAAGCTGGCTGGGATCTTAATTGGGGCTCTGAACTCCTCCAGCCACCAACACCCCAATGCACCAGATTACTTAACCCAGTTATAGTGTAAACAGAGGAGACAGAAGTGCATGAGGGATTAGGCTCCAGTGAGCTTTTAGCCACAACGCAGCAACCCTGCCCCTTCAGTAAATGTTTGGATGGCTCCAGAATTTCAAAGCAGTGGACAATGCAGGCCACTGGGGCAGAGAGGACGTCTCTTTGATGCTGTGCTAACAGGGTAGCCTTGATGCCGCTCAATCTAATCCATTTTGATTAATGCCACCAAATGAGTTTTCCTGACATCTGTGATTCCCCACCCAAACCCCATGGGAGGGGGATGATTGAGGAGGCCAGGTTATGATCCCATCACAGCAAACACCTCCAAGACTGCTACAGCAAAGAGTTAATAGCTTCCCCAAACAAATAAGATGGGACCCCCTTACACTTCCCCCCTTCCTTAATTAACTCCTCCCTGGGTTGCTTCTGGTCCCATTTGCACCCCTCTGTTCCAAAACAAAAGAAGTGCTCTCTGTCTGGTTTGGGCTTACGTAACCATGCTCCTCCGTGCAAGGCAGGTCACAGCTTTCTCACACTGGCTGAGAGTATTTGGAGAATGATTGATCTGAACATAAAAAAACAACAAACCACCATGCCTTTTGGTCCATTTTGCAAGTAAGTGGCCACTCGGACAGGCAGTGGCTAGGAAAAGTCTGAACATAGGAAACACAGGAAACTGCCTTATACCGATTCAAACCTTTGATGCATCTAGCTCAGAACTGCTGGCATTAACTGGTAGTCGCTCTCCAGTCAGCCCTATCTGGAGATACCACGGATTGAACCTGGAATCCTCTGCAGGCTGTACTCTGAGCTACAACCCTTCTGGGTTCCCCAAAATGTTAGGCAGAGCTCCTTCCATGGATGGGATCCTTCAGGGGTTAAACTTGCGCCTTCAGCATGCATGCATCCATGCAAAGCATATTCTCTGGCACTGAACTAACCCTAACACAGACTGCAGCTCAGTTCAGTCACTGGTGAGACAACAGGATGAGTTATAGACATTGATGTGTTTGCCTATGTTTCAGTTGCTAGAGCACATGTTATATTTACAACATGAATGCCACCCAAACGGGCATTATGCATATTTTGTAAAAATATTTGTTTGGTTGGTTTATTATTCCATTTATATCCCTCCGTTTATATTCCACTGATATCCTGCCATATGTTGCCCACCCCCTCTTATCCTGTGAGCTAGGTCACACCTAAAGACAGGAGGAATTGGCCCAAGGTTACCTGGTGAGCTTCACTGCTGCATGGGCAATTGAACCCTCATCTCCCAAGCAAAGGTTCAGCCAGCTGCATCTACCAGCACTGCCACAGGAGCAAACAGGTGGCTTTTACTATTACCCCTGCTGTCTGTGGAGTCCAATCCACCAGTTCCACTAGTGCTAAGTATTTAAAGGCCTTGGGGCATTGGCTCATGGCAATATTTGCTTAAACACTGCAGATGCTAATTTCGATGTATAGATGTCTCAGCAATTTTAAGAGAGTGGGTGGCTGACTTCTCCCCAGAAATCTGTTTTGTGATATGCCCAGCTGCACTGAAAAGACCCGATGTGTGGGTCCTGCTAACAAAGTCCATGACCTCTTGGCCTGACAGGAACCAGAATTTTTTCCCCAAAATGCTTTTTATTGAATTTTCTTTAAGGAACCAGAATTTTTGAAATCTACGTTTGGCAACCTTATACAGGAACAGTTGTGGAGACAGAAGAGGATGGGATATAAAATGTAAAGAGATGGAGTATGGGGAGAATTGAACCACAACTCGGTGATGGAACAAATGCTCTGCATGCAGAACTCCCCCAATGCAATCTTTGGTACTCCAAGTTTAACGGAACCCATTGAATCATAGAGTTGGAAGGCACCCCAAGGGTCCTCTAGTCTACCCCCAGCAATACAGGAATCTAAACCAAAGAATCCCTGATTGGTGGTCACCCACCTGTCAGAAAGTCCTTCCTGGTGTTTAGTCAGAGGGTCATACAAAAGAACTCTGCCTGAGAGGAGCTGCCAGTCAGAGAGCTTAGCACAAGATGGACAATTGGCCCGGCTTGGTGTAAAGTAGCTTCTCATGTTCCTAGTAAATGGGGCAGGGGTGAAACCTTGAGCCCTGCATTGCAGGAAGTTGGCCTAGATGACCCTCAGGATCCCTTCCAACTCTGCAGTTCTCTGATTCTAGGATTCTTCCATTGCTGCCTACTCTCTTCCCCACTGCAGTCTTCGAATCTTACCATTCATACAGAATAGGACTCACAATAAATGCTTGTCAGGAGAATGCATTCCTTTTGGAAGTGGAATTATTGAGTCCATGAACCCTGCGTGGAGAGACAGCCCATTCAATTATAAAGCCTGCCCAACCACCAGCAGCACACTTCATTCTCTCCCTTAACATGTAAGAGCTTTATTTACAAACTGCTTTTAAAAAAAGAACCACTGAAAAGCCCCAGAGAAACCAGGGATTTATTTCTCCCCCTAACAAATGTAGAAGAACCAGTTATAAAACTTGCCAGTCACCCTATTGTGCTTCTAGTAAAGCACTTGCTATTTTTATTACTTCCTGTGATAAGCCTGCCAAGCTGGCCTGACCAGGCCACTAATGTGGCCCCAGGTTTCTCTACCAGAGCCAGAGAAGAGAATCAACAAGTGAGAGCTGCTGGACTTTCGGTGATCTCAGAGGATTGTATTGTTCAACCATCATAATAGCACAATGCAGCACTCCAAAGAGCTTTGAGCGTAACTGCAACATTAAGTGCTTTCATAAGTCATGATGGGATACATCTTCTCTTCCAGGGGTGAGGAACCTTCATTTTGGGGTGTAAGGCCTTTTATGGGTAGGTGAAGGCAAAGGCAAAGGACCCCTGGACGGTTAAGTCCAGTCAAAGGCAACTATGGGGTGCGGCACTCAATTCTGTGGTGCTCATCTCGCTTCAGGCCGAGGGAGCTGGCATTTGTCCACAGATAGCTTTCCAGGTCATGTGGCCAGCATGACTAAACTGCTACTAGAGCAACAGGACACCGTGACGAGTGCCAGAGTGCACGGAAACGCAATTGACCTTACAGCCGCAGCGGTACTTATTTATCTACTTGCACTGGTATGCTTTTAAACTGCTAGGATGGCAGGAGCTGGGACACAGCAATGGGAGCTCACCCCGTTGGGCGGATTCAAACTGCCAACCTTCCAATCGGCAAGCCCAAGAGGCTCTGTGGTTTAAACCACTGCGCCACCTGCGTTTGGGGGCTACATGCAAGTGAGCCCACCTACCCACCACTTTCTGCCATCCCTGCACTCTCCCTCCTCCAATACAGAAATTCAGATGGCTTTAAATTACTTGGCAGGAGTGCCAGCTTGGCCCCGTGACCACGGGTGCCTGGGGCCATGGGTGCCATGCAGCATGCATGGCCCTGGCACTGAAATTTGTGGGTGCCCAGTCCCTTCATAGGGAATGCTGTGGGTGCTCAAGGACCCCAGGGAGTTTTCACCTATGTTACTTGGCAACAGCATGACCACAGATGTTCTCAGCCAATTCCCAGCTGCAATTTGGGAGAAGGGTTCAAGGCATGCTTTGAGAGCCACTGTGGTGTAACAGTTAAAGTGTACTGAACTAGGTTCCTGGGACACCAGGGTTCAAATCCCTACTCAGCTATGGAACTCACTGGGTGACCTTGGGCCAGTCACCGCATCTCAGCCTAACCATCCCCACAGCGTTGTTATTATTATGAAGATAAAATAGGGTGGCAGGGAGAATGGCATACAACTCTTTGAGCTCCTTGGAGGAAAAGCAGAATACAAATGTAATTAAAAAATATATGAAATGCTTTGCATGCATGAAACCCCTGGTATTTCTAATTAATATGTATTAATATGTATCTGGCAGAACTGGGAAAGACCTCGGCCTGAGACTCTGGCTGGCTGCTTCCTGTCAGCTCAGTCAGTAGAGCATGGGACTCTTAGTCTCAGGGTTGTGGGTTCGAGTTCCACATTGGGCAAACATACCAGCATTGCAGGGAGTTGGACTAGAAGATCCTTGTGGTCCCTTCCCACTCTACACTTCCATGATTCTGTTGATAGGCAATGCTGAGCTCGATGGGTCAGTGCTCTGGGCTCGGTACATGAAGGCTTCCTTTCTTCCTCATCCTGGCCCGCCCAGCCACTGGCTCCAACATGCTGTCTTTTAACTCTTACTGGCTGTTTATGCTGATTTTTCAAATATCAAAGTGAGGGTGGGGCATTCAAGCCTATCTTAACATTAAGTTTTATGTATATCTAATAATGGGACGTGGGTGGCGCTGTGGGTTAAACCACAGAGCCTAGGACTTGCCGATCAGAAGGTTGGCAGTTCAAATCCCCGTGACGGGGTGAGCTCCCATTGCTCAGTCCCTGCTCCTGCCAACCTAGCAGTTCGAAAGCATGTCAAAGTGCAAGTAGATAAATAGGTACCGCTCCGGCAGGAAGGTAAACGGCATTTCCATGTGCAGCTCTGGTTCGCCAGAAGTGGCTTCATCATGCTGGCCACATGACCCGGAAGCTGTACGCCGGCTCCCTCAGCCAATAAAGTGAGATGAGCGCAACCCCAGAGTCAGCCACAACTGGACCTAATGGTCAGGGGTCCCTTTACCTTTATATCTAATAATAATAATAATAATAATAATAATAATAATAATAATACCTGTTCCCCTGTGTGTTAGGCATGCTGGTATGCTACTTTAGGAAGAAAAAGAGTGTTTTAAACTGACATCAGATGCTATTCTCTCACTATTACTATGCAGATCCATTTGTCCTAGCTTTAGTTTTACAGACGTCTCAAGGACCTACAGAACAGGGCAGTTAAATTCACTGAATATGCTGCAATTCCAACCAGGATGAAGATATGCTGTTTAGTGTGCATTTATAAATGTTTGTACTTAATTGCATTTGTGGTGGCACCACCTTGCATAAAAGAAAGGTACTTTGGAAAGCCACTGGTAGCTGATATAGTTATTGATTCTCAGGGAAACAGAATGTGTTTCGATCTGTCAAACCTGCAATCTTCATTGTGAATATTGATCCTCCTCTGCAGCAGTCTCATCTAATGCTTTGCACTGAAACATTGGTTCCCATTACTCAGGATAAGTGCCAGAAACACTTTCTTCAAAAAAAAACAACCAAAAACTAAGCTGAGCACATTTGCAAGGAGGAACGAGGCACTGGGGACTCAAAGCTAGAGGTGGCCTTCTAAGTTGAAGCCCACTGCCTCCGCACCCCACAAAAATCAACCTGCTTTGTTGCATACACAATTTTTATTATTTATTTATTTATTTATTTATTTATTTCCCACCCATCTGACTGAGTTTCCCCAGCCACTCTGGGCGGCTCCCAATCAAGTGTTAAAAACAATACAGCATTAAATATTAAAAACTTCCCTAAACTGGGTTGCCTTCCGATGTCTTTTAAAGACAGGATAGCTGCTTATTTCCTTCACATCTGAAGGGAGGGTGTTCCACAGGGTGGGCGCCACTACTGAGAAGGCCCTCTGCCTGGTTCCCTGTAACCTCACTTCTCGCAATGAGGGAACCGCCAGAAGGCCCTCAGAGCTGGACCTCAGTGTCCAGGCTGAACGATGGGGGTGGAGACGCTCCTTCAGGTATACAGGCCCGAGGCCATTTAGGGCTTTAGAGGTCAGCACCAACACTTTGAATTGTGCTCGGAAACGTACTGGGAGCCAATGCAGATCTCTCAGGACCAGTGTTATGTGGTACCGGTGGCCACTCCCAGTCACCAGGCTAGCTGCCGCATTCAGTAAATGGATATTACCTTCTAACATATATTTTACTTTCATTTTTCTCCCAGTCCTACTCACACCAGCCAGCTTTTCCGCTAGAGCAATATCCCACACTTTCTACCACCAACCTCAGCCATGAAGCTCACTGTGTGAACCTGTGCAGCCACTAGTTCTCAGCCTAACTTACCCCGCAGCCCCAGATAAATAAAGCATTGGCGAAAGGAAGTTGGAAGGGTTTTCTAAACTAAACTCTGCCAGTGCTGTTCCAAACCTTACTGCCCCCTTCCTACAGAGTCTTTTGGAGTCATCGGTAACTGGACATCTCCACTGAATCCAAGAGCATGGCAATAATTTCTAATGACTTTCAACAATGACATCAGCCTGCGTGGAAATTGCTCAGGAAGGAGAATGAGGTCATTGGCGGGAATGTAGGAAGTGATCTTATACTAGGCTAGACTATTTGCCCATCTAGTCCTTCAACATGCACTGTGCGTACTCTACCATCATGGAGGAAAACATGAAGACTGAGATGATACAGCATAACTATAGAGATGGTTTGGGACAGTTTCTTGAAGGATGTGTCATTCTTGAAATTGGACTTTCGATATAGCAGCCCAACCCTGCTTTGAGCATTCGGTAGCTGACACCCACTGGCCCCTTCTAAGCCCGTTACATTACAAAAATTCCCATCGATACTAATAAGGCTACGTGTCAGTATGTGTCTCCATTTGCCAGCATCAGAGCCTTGTCTCAGAAGGGGACAAATTGACTTGAATGTCAAGGTTTATTATCTTCATAGGAGGAAAATACTTGCAACAAAAAAGAGCTGTTCTAGATGGACCTCCTCCATGCCAGCATTGAGAAGTGAACAATTCCAACCCAGTGAGTCATTTTTCCTCCCCTTTCAAATACAAAGGGATATTTTTTAAGCAGTTTCACCCCAGATTAATGCCAAAAAAATGCCTTGCCTAGGAACTGCGAGGAAGCCTATATTCTCAAGATGCCCTGACTTCAGCAGCTGTTAGTGCCTTTGCTACAATTCTAATTATTTATACAGCGCCGTCTGTGGTCATGATGTTTTGCAGAGGATAAGAGGACAGGGCTCTGCCCCAAGGAGCTTACAATATAACATTCAAACACAGGGCTGACAATGACGGGAGGGAAAGCAGGGCTAAACTGGGACGCATTATGCAGTTGTTGCAGCTGCACATGCTGCGACTGCAATCTAAGCCAACCTTTGCACTGGGCTGGGTAGGGGGGTTGGACTAGGCAAAGGTGTCCCTCTGCCCAGCCCTGCTGGCCAGTGCTTGTCTCTGCCAGCATGAAGCTTCCCATTCCGCCCACCTTGGGGTCCCTTCCAGCTCCACAATTCTGTGATTCTATGTGATCTGGTTACCTGGCGGAACTTACACTAGCAGTAAGGGTCATGTAAGTCAAATTGTACAGTATATTAAAAGCTTTTTATTGTCCCTCTGCCAGGCTCAGGCAGACTCAGCTGGCAGCAGCCCCACTCCTGAAAGGGGATTTAAATGGGAGAACTTATGCCAAAGGAAGATCTAGGGAAGTGCAAAGCTTATACTGGCTTTACTTAACTTGACATTAATTTCCACCGGCTTCCTATAGTTAGGATTGCTCTGTACATTTGTAGCCAATACAGCAGTTCAGGGTTTTGTTTTTCGTTGTTTTAAACTGCCCTCTGGTTTAGTAACAGAGTTTGTAGTCTGTGGTATGCAGCTTAATTTTTAATTCCTTTCCATTTGTTGCAATGTGCCATGTTAATTGTTTGTGCAAGATCAACTTGCATTCAGTGGTGATGAGTAATGGCTGTAGATTAATACTCAGCTGCAAATATATTCAGTTGCAAAAAGAAAAAGAAAAAAGGAAGCCACTGTTGTTTTCAGAAAATCTCTCTCCCTTCTTGCCAAATGGTTTTGAGGTGACATATTGAAGGGAGTCAGGACACATTTCTTTTCTGATGCACAGTGATGAAAATAAATGCCATTCACATCCTATGAAGCACGATTTCACCGCACCAAGCAATAAGAATGCATGGAAAATTCAACTGAAATTAAAAAATACTGTTCAATTTCTTGCAGAAAAGCGACCTGAAATCCTGAAGTGTGGGCTTTTCTCTGAAAGAAGTCTGAAATGCAGTTTTCAGTCTGAGATACTGTTACCACCATGTTATATTGATGGTACCTACAGATCCTTTTAATTAAAAGCCTTGGATGCATGCTACAAATCTTTATAGTGTCTACAGATGATAAAGATCCAATATCTACAGTCAGGTGAATATCTCTTAGACCAACCAAAATGTCCCAAAATAGGGAGAAAACATTTGAATTTTTCCAGAACCTTCCCTCAGGCTAGATGTAAAACAAAGCAGGTGTAGACGAGTTAGGGTTCCCTAGGAAGAGGAGTTAAACTACTCTGAGAAGAATGGGAACCTTCTAACAACTCTCAGCACCCTTAACAAACCACAGCTCCCAGAATTCTTTGTGGGAAGTCATGACTATATCATAGTGCTTTAAATGTATGGCATTGAATATGGCCTTAATGTCAAAGTCATGGAGTCTACACTACAGTCTTAAGATGGCATATGGGAGAAGATAAAAGACTTAAATAGTTTTGGCTCCACTTGGGAGGTAGGCAGGTTCTGGAGAAGTTAAAAGCTTGCTCCTTCATAGGTTTCATTTGGTTGTCACAGAAAGCCAAACTACAGTTTATTCCAGGACAACTATGTTGGCTCCCAGAAAGGATTTCACACCCACTTTGCTTCTCCCTGGTCCTTTTAGCACAGTGTGGCAATGCAGCTAAGCCAAAATTTCAACAGGAACTCTCCTTAACCACAACCTGTAACCATAGGAAAAACCTTGGCTACCATGATGTACAAACCAGGGTCAAAGTTAGCAATGTTTTAGTTTGTCCTAATGGCCTGACAGTGGATTTTGGATTTACTTATCATGAACCAACACAGCTTACTTTGCCTAACACACCCCTTAATCCTTCTTTTACACTCAAGTCTTCCTACTCTTTCAGTGTGGTGATCAATGGTCTGATTGCTGGTTTAGTTCTTAAACAGATGAAGGGCACCAGGGAAAACGTGTGGAGGTACAAAAAGAAAAGTAGAATATAGTTTATGCTGCTGATGCAACTTCATAAGAGAAGGGACTGGGTATTCCTAAGGACAAAACCCCAAGATAGGGCATCGCTAAATAAAGGAGCCACCATCCCACATAAAATCAGCCAGAAGGAAATGTCAGCATCTTGAATGGAAACCAAAAGTGAAGCCACAGTACATGGGTATCTGGAAATGGACTGAATGCTAGTTTTATCACTTCTTGTGCCAACCGATTTGCAAAACAGAGGGTGGAAGATCTGGTTTGCCAACTGGGAGGAAAAGTGCAGTGAAAATTTACATAGTTTTATCTGGGGGCTTTTATCTGTTCGTTTGAATCACCTGCAGTCTCAAGGTATAAGGCTCTTAACTAGAGTGTTGCATCTTGACAAAGACATAATTAACATACTGCCAGGGTGGTTCTCTCTCTCCCCCACCCCCCTTGTGAAGTTGCATTCTTGTGAACTAGAATAAAGTACAATGGAAAATCTTGGCATATGCTTTATTTTAAAAATGTGCTTCCTGGTTGCTAGGCAACGGAAACATAAAATTATTTTTGAAAAATTGAAACATGCTGTCTTGTTAATTGGGAACATAAGCTGCCCGGAAAGTGCAGTTTTGGATGTGATGCTTCCTGTGTCATTTGCATGCAATTCTTTTTTTCTGGCTGTGTTTTCTTCTGACCTCTAGTGGTACAAATAACAATTGCGGCATCAAATGCACAGTTTTTAGGATCTCTTTACCTTTGCCTTTACATGTGTCAATTACTCACACTTAAAAAGCGGTGTGTGTGCTTAACCTGATGGTGTTTATTAGTGGGGTGGAGCTATTAATCTGCATGGATCCCAATCCAAAACTTGCTCCCAGGTCAAATTGGGGTCTTGCATTCAGAATAGCCCGCTGGCTGCTCTTTGCCCCTGAAAGTGCTGTTTGCAGTAAAACAACACTTTGTAGAGCTATTTATACTAAACAGGGGCAAGCAAACCTGTACTATGCTGGGCCCTGATTCAGATGAGGAGCAAATTCTGAACTGGATCCTATTTTTCTTCAAAACAAATGCTGCCAGGTTAAGCACACTTAACCAACCAACCAACCACAGAAAACATGAATAATGGTCACGTGTAGTTTTGCCCATTAAAACTGTGGCCATTATTATTTATCTGTGAATTTACAGCTTGAGTTCGGGAACACTTTGGCAGCAATCCAGAAAGACACCAGGAGCATGGCCTCTTCATTTGGGTACTCACTGTCAGATGTGAAGGGTTGAGATGATGACTCAGAAGAGGTAGCCACAACAAGAACACTTTTAGCTGCTTGGGTGTGTGGGTAGTGATTTGAATGGGGGAGCATCCTGCCTTTTATATCAACTGAGGCATATTAAGTAGGACTGGGCAACAATTTGACAGGGTGTCATTCAAGGACTGAAAACTGGGAATTGTTATTTATTAATATACCACTGTTACTCTATTTGGATTTTCTCAGCCACCAAAATATCTTGGGCTGCCTCCAGCACAGCAACTCCTATGCAGCTACCATAGAACTTTTAGATGATGAAGAGAAGGTAGACTGTGCCCCACTAAGAGGGGAAGATGAGTAATGGTAGGTCTGTTGTTTTTAAAGAAAAGATTGCCTGTTGTTGTTGTTGTTGTTCACCATCACCTATTTATTTATTTATTTATTTATTTATTTATTTATTTATTTTTGATAGATAGATAGATAGATTGATTGATTGTTACATACATACCCTACCTTTCCTCCAAGGAGCTCAAGGTAGCATATGATTCTCCCTCTTCCCTTTTTAGCCTCACAACAACCCTGTGAGGTAGGAAAGAATGAGAGACAGTGACTGGCCCATGGTCAGCCAGTGAGCTTCATGGCCCAGTAGAGCAAGGATAGGCAAACTCGGCCCTCCATACGTTTTGGGACTACAACTCCCATCATACCTAGCTATCAGGATCAGTGGTCGGGGTGATGAGAATTATAGTCTCAAAACATCTGGAGGTCCTAGTTTGCCTACGCCTGAAGAGATGTGAACCCCAGTCTCCCATGTCCTGGTCTGTTACTCTTACTATCTAAAGGGTATAACAGCAGGGGTTTTAATGAGATCAAAAGCAAATATTTTTGCTTTGATAATAAGTAAACTTTCCAAAGCCTGAACATTGAAGAACTCTGGATAAGTTTCCATGGGATATCACAGTTCAGGGGGACTAACTATTCCTTTTGAGCACAACACAGTGTATGGTAGATATTGACCCACTACTTTTCCAGGGCAATTTATGAAGCTCAGTGTGACCTGCTGGGCCTCGCTACTGGCAAAGGCCACCAAATAAATATATCGCAGAACAGGGCTGCCAAATATTTTATGGGGAGGGGGGCAAAGGGACCTCAGCCCTTAAGAGCTGGCTCCTATGTTACAGAATGTTTCTCTGAAATTGCAGATGGTAAAGAAGCTATATTTGGGGCAGCTTGCTTACCTTGACTGATCGTTTCATCACAGAACCTAAGCTTGAAATCCCCTGATCTGGAGAGATACCCTTCTCTCCATCTATCTGACTCAGTGGTGTATCATTTGACAGAGGAACAAACCACTACATGTAAGCTGTGCTGTGTTGCTGCAAAAGATGATTAATCATCTCAGATGCAAGCAAATTGGCTACATCTCTGTTAATTGGGCTGTGGCGTTTCTGTTGGCTACAAGTGACAGAAAATGGATAAAATCTATGTCTTGATTCAACATAGGCTCTCACCCGAACACATATTTACACGGTTCATTATCCTGAGATAATAGGCCCCTTAACTCACTTCAGTCTCTGATCTGTTTACACAACCTGCAGGTTAATCAAAAGCTGAAGGAAGTAGAAGGGAAGGGAAGGAAGGCCTGGATAATGAGATGTCCTTGACTTCTCTGGTACCGCAAAAATGTCTTGGTCATCATCTCAGGCATTATTTAGATTTATAGTTCATCAGACCCAAAGGGGTCAATGCAAGTAACATTATTTAGAGAGAGAAAGAAAATGGTGTGATTTCATGTGCAGATGAGACAATAAAAGAAACCTTAGATTGGCCCTGAACATTGGTTACAAATGAACACAGCAACATAGGAAACTGGCTGATTCAAAGTGAAATAATTGGGTCCTTCTAGCTCAGTGATGACTAGCACTGACTGACAGAGGCTCTCCAGGATTTGAGGAAGGAGTTATTCTCTCAACCCTACCTGGAGAAACCAGGGATTGAACCTAGGACTTTCTGTGTGTAAAGAAGATGCTCAACCACAGAGCTATGGTACTAAATATTAAACCTTGCAGAAGAAAAAGATGGCTAGGAAAGACCCTTGTGATTACCACCCACCCACATGGTTGCTGCATTGACTTCACGTATCAGCCTCCCCAAATCTTAAGCTTTTCACTTGAGGCTAGAGTGGCCAGAAAGGGGACATGCATCACCAAAAGAGAGGACAAAAGAGGGCAGGTGTTTCCATAAAATTTGCATATGCTAATTTATATGTATATATGCAAATGTAGAAATAATTACTAGAAAACAGAAAAACAATAAATCTTGCAATATCCAGAAGCTAATGGGGGATAGGCAGGTTCAAGGCCCCTCCTGCTTTCTCTTCATAATGATTCTTAATCTTTAAGCCAGGCTTGGACCAAACAGCCCCTCAGATAGAAGGACCATCATCCTTCCAAGCTGAAGTTCTTTTCTGAATACCTTCCTTATTTATTTAGGATATTTATTGCCTGCTCTTCATCACAGAAGAAATGGCCAAGACAATTTAGCAAAGTCACCAATAAAAGCTACAAAACAATAAATAATAACCATACACAATGCAGCCATCAGAATCAGCAGAACTCAGTAAGTCAAGAGGCTCACACAAAGGTCCAGGGAAACAGGAAATCCTTCCTTAATGGAGGTATGTTGTGTACTGTGGTACCTTGGGTTACATACGCTTCAGGTTACATACGCTTCAGGTTACAGCCTCTGCTAACCCAGAAATAGTGCTTCAGGTTAAGAACTTTGCTTCAGGATGAGAACAGAAATTGTGGTCCGGCAGCGTGGCAGCAGCAGAAGGTCCCATTAGCTAAAGTGGTGCTTCAGGTTAAGAACAGTTTCAGGTTAAGAACGGACCTCCGGAACGAATTAAGTACTTAACTTGAGGTACCACTGTATCTCCAACAGGAGAGAAACTTTTCTGCAGTGGCTTCCCCAGTCTAAATGGCCTCCCCAAAGAGACAGGACATAACGGCTGACATTACCATTTTTCCTCCACCAGGTTAAGGCATTTCTATTTGCCCAGGCAAATAGAAGGGAATGAATCCTACTGTCCAAAGGCAAGAGGAACATCTCATTGTCATGCTCGCTTTTGCATCTAGCCCCACCCACTCCTTACATGCAGCCCCCAGAAGGCTCCCACTGGAAAATGCGGTCCTCAGACTAAAAAAGTGTTATCTACTGCTGCTCTAAGGTATCGTACCATTGGCCCTGAGAAATATTGGAAAATTGAGAGAAAACAATTTCCTCTTAGCTCACAAAAAAATGAGAGGCCGGCACCAACGCTTGCTAGCCTGTAACACTCTTCAGTATCTCTACTGCACTCAGTTTAAATTAAGTCCCCATTCAAAATATTTCCCTGTCCTATTTGCCTATAACACTAGTAACAGTTGTTAGCATCTGTCTGTCCTGAGAGACAACGGAGTGCACCTGCAGGAGCGAAATCGAACCGCTGTGTTAGCAGCACCAAAGTGACCTTCCTGGGATGCAAGCCTGGGCAGCGTGTATGGTGGTCCTGGGCTGCCCAGACAACAAGACCACTGTTGCAGATTTGGTCCAAAGGAAAGCAGAGCAATATGTTTGGAACCAGCTTGGCTGCAGGAGTTGCTGGAAGGAGGGATGCAAGGTGCCATCCAATTGTCTTAGGGGCTCCAGATTTGTGTAGGGTTTACCCCTTAGCCTTTTCTTCTCTGGAAGATATCTTGCAAGGCAGCAGAGGTTTAGGATCAGAGTTTCCTTCTCCTAGATGGCTTCCTTCCCAGGTTGGCAAGCCCCATCTGTCCCTCACTTCCCTCTACAGCATGTGTAGACACTGTCTTATTGGCTGTTGGACCCACTATTGGTCTTGAACGCTCTATCCACCGGAGACTATCTTCACATGCAGGGGAAGTCACTGAGGGTTTAAGACCCATTGGTTACCCTAGCAATTACCCTAGTAACAAACACTACAGCATTCCTAGCATCACATGGTGTACAACCTAGCCAAGAGCAACCACTTTTAAACTGGTTTGTTTTTAGTGCAGAAAGGTCCGTGCTTAGTGGTAGAGCATCTCCCTTGTATGCAGAAAGTCCCTGGTTCAATCCTCAGCATCTCCAGGTATCCTCAACCTAAACCCTGGAGAGCGGCTGCCAGTCAGTGTAGGCAATATTGAACTAGATGAGCCAATGGTCTGACTTGGTATAAAAATGATATTTATTGAAAGTTTAAAAAATTACAAAAAAAAGAAAAAAGACAACAATAAAAAAGAAAAAAGAAAAAAAAACATAGAAAAGCAATACAACAGTACAGCAAAAAGAAACAAAGAAAAAACTAAAACACACATCCAATATTCCATATCTTTACCTTTCCTTTACTTGTTTCATCGACCTCCTCACACCTCCCTTTTTTTGTATTCTAGTTCAATTCACTATTTCAGCAAATTCTTCCCATCTTTCTCAATTTTTATTCTATAATTTATCTTAACGGTCTAACCTTATTTTTTTTCATTTTAACCCGTTATCAATCAACTTTTACTTAATTCTTTGTTACATTTCTACTAAAACCTTATAGCTTCATTCCAGCATCCTTCTAACACTCATTAATTTTACAATGTTTCTGTAAGTATACTTTAAATTTTTTCCATTCTTCTTCCACCGACTCTTCTCCCTGGTCTCGGATTCTGCCAGTCATTTCTGCCAGTTCCATGTAGTCCATCAGCTTCATCTGCCATTCTTCCCTGGTGGGTAGATCTTGTGTCTTCCAATACTTTGCAATAAGTATTCTTGCTGCTGTTGTAGCGTACATAAAGAAAGTTCTATCCTTCTTTGGCACCAGTTGGCCGACCATGCCCAGGAGAAAGGCCTCTGGTTTCTTCAGGAAGGTATATTTAAATACCTTTTTCATTTCATTATAGATCATCTCCCAGAATGCCTTAATCTTTGGGCATGTCCACCAAAGGTGAAAGAATGTACCTTCAGTTACATTACATTTCCAACATTTGTTATCGGGCAAATGATAGATTTTTGCAAACTTGACTGGTGTTATGTACCACCTATAAATCATTTTCATTAAATTCTCTTTTAAGGCATTACATGCCGTAAACTTCATACCAGTGGTCCATAACTGTTCCCAGTCGGCCATCATAATATTATGTCCAACATCTTGTGCCCATTTAATCATAGCAGATTTCACCATTTCATCTTGAGTATTCCATTTCAACAGCAAGTTATACATTCTTGACAAATTCTTAACTTTAGGGTCTAACAATTCTGTTTCCAAGTTTGATTTTTCCACCTGGAAGCCTAGTTTTTTATCCAAGTTATTGAGGCATCAGATCAAGGCCTGCATTTTAAAATGAGCTTAAAAAATATATTTGCAAATGTTTGTATGTTTCATGCCAGAGATAAAGCAGCTGGCTGAGTACTTTGGCAGATGCTTATCTTCTTGATCAAGGCCCCCCCCCCCGATCTATAGCAGTGCCTCAGGGTTGTAAAAGGAAATTACAGGCTGGGAGCAAAAGGTCATATTGACCATACAAATTACAGAACACAAGCTGCAAAAACACAATTAAGAGTTGGTAAATAGTGAGATTTATTGTTTAACAGAAAATAATACTAGGTGCCTCCCATTAGACTTGAGCCACATATTCCTAAGGTTAAAGGGCAAGAGCTAATAGAAACAGCAGCTGGCTTGAAAGGGGGGTGTAAATTTAAGAGGTTGCTTTTGGAAACTGTTTTTACTAAGTTCCTTTCCTTCTAAAAAGCTATATATGTTATGTATGAAATATATTGGCTTAAATGTAATTATGCAAAGGATTTAGAAAGTAAGAAATGTTAGATTCTTATGTTAGATTCTTATTTCATTGATGGTGTGTGAGAAGGTGAACCCAAGATCTCTGTTTAAGATAAAAATTAAAACCATTAGCCATCTGTTTTGGAGTGAATAGGGCAATAGGGCAATAGGGCAATAGGGCAAAGATGATCTGATAATTAAGGTGCCTGGTCGAGGCAAATGTAAGATATATGGCTACTTGTCTGCCATTTATGGATAGAAGGAAATATAGCTCTTTGTCTCCCATAAAAAGTAATAGGAAATGGGTGTATCTTTTATGATTGGTTCTAGCAAACAGCCAATAGGAATTTCAACCAGGCTGATTGGACAGAGGCAGCCAAAGGAGGAGCAAGGGGGCTGGGCTGAGGAAATATAAGTGCTGGCCATCAGGGCTGGAGTGGGCAGAGCTTTGGTATCCATATACCACTGTGTCTCTCATTTATTTGTCTGACAAATAAATTATTATTTTAATTTCTCTATTGCTGCGTTGAATATTTCATTCCAGCTAAGCGTTAACCACAAGCAGGGTGCTACATTATATGCCTCCATTATTTGATAATAATGGAGCCAATCTCGTACTCTGTTTTTTAATTTTTCAAAGCTCTGCAGTTTTAATCTGTCACCCTCTTGTTCCAAAATTTCCCAATACTTCGGCCATTTGGCCTCCATATTGAGTTTTTTCTGAGCCTTTGCTTCCATTGGTGACAACCATCTTGGGGTTTTATTTTCTAACAAATCCTTATATCTTATCCAGACATTAAACAGTGCTTTTCTTACTGGTCTGACTTGGTATAAAGCAGCTTCCTATGTTCCTAATTTGTCCACTGTGATCCATGAGACCTCAGCCATCATGGCAAACATTTTTGGGTTATTTTGTTGCCCGGTCACCACTAATCCATGTAGCCGTTCTGGTTTTCTGTTAACATTCATCTCTGAATTGGTCCATAAGAAGTTAATTTGACACCATCTGCCATTCTTCCTGGTGTCTTCTGTGCTGTGAGTAATTTAATTTGTTCTGTTCTCTGTTTCCCCCACATTTTTCAAAGCAAGCTATTTGTTCCAGAATTTCAAAGTGCAACAATGCATCTGTAACAATTTATAGAACTCTGCCATGCAAAACTGACCTTCTCAGAAGCTTCTATTGGAGTTACCCAATAATTCCCTCCCCTATGAAAATCAATTACTTTTGAAGTTACTTGTGCTTACTTCTGAAATTTAAACCAACCATCCCTTCAATTCATGTCATATAATAGATACCAAAATTATTGCAGGCATCAAACAAAGCAATTTCAGACAGTAGCAGGAGAATGGCAAATGTTACAGAAAGAAGAAAGAGCATTGAAAAGTATTTCAAGAGCACTAAGCAAAATGTTTTAGAAGTTCCTACAAGGATGTATTTGGACAGAAGGCTTCCTGAGAACCCAGCGGATGCTGCTCTGAACTTCATAGGTATGCATGGTGATACATACAACCTAGGAAGCTGTTGCATCCCCCACAGTGGCTTCTTAGCAGTTCCAGAATAAACCTTTTGTCCTTTATAACTCTCTACAGCCTTGTTGACATCCCTGGTCTTAGCCTTTGCTCTTTGTATCACCCTAAACTCACAAAGCTATTCTGATTTGTCTCAACGCTTTGTCAGGGGACGGGTCATAGTGCAGTGCTAAAGGGCGTGGAAAAAACATCCATGTTTGGTCTCTGCCATCTCCAGGTAGGGCTCGAAAACCACATTGATCAATGGTCTGATTCAGTATAAGGCAGCTTTCTATGTATTTTCCTAGGACTCCATCATTTCTCTCTTGCTGTCCACGATCCTCAGAACTCATTCCCCACAACACCTATCTGACAACACCTCTCTTTTACTTCAAATCCCTGATTAAGGCCCACCTTTTCTGTGAGGGTTTGACTTAAGATTATTATTATTATTATTATTAATCTTGCTGTGCTTCCGGAAGGAGCTCAGGGCAGCAAACAGTTCCACAATTTTAAAACGAAAACATTCTAGAACAGTTAAAACATTCCAAAAACAATGAAAGTTAAGAACAACCAAGAGCAGTCACAGTATAAAGCATTTTAAAAGGCATTGATTGCAGTAAAAAGTATTATTTCATCCTGTGATCCTGGAGTTGTACTCCAAATGCCTGGGTAAAAAACAGGAATGTTTTCAAATTCCTCCTGAGAGTTAATTATGATGGAGACAGACAGGCCACACTAGAGAGGGTCTTTCACAAATGGAGAGCCACCACTGAAAAGGCCCTGCTATAGGTCAGCTTCAACCAGAGAGCTCCCAGTGGCAGCGGCACCAACAAGGCCTCACCAGCCAACTGTAGGGTCTGAGGTGGCTGTATTTAGTCCTCAGCTGCAACTGAAATTAAGCCTAGGTGTGTGCAAGTGCATCTGCTTGCAAATGACTACCTTGTGAGCACTGCCTCTATATTCCCTCAGTTAGATACTAAACTGTCAGGGGATGGGAACTCCTTTTTTCCTTAGTGACTCCACAGTGTAAAGTGCCATGCACAGTCATGGTGCAATACACAAACACAACATTTTAAACTGGGCTTCCCAAATTTATTTGTCCCTCACGCTCAAGCGACTAAAATGACAAGAGAAAACACACATGCCCACAGTCACCATATTATGTTCACATAAGTCTCACAGGGGCCATGACATGTTAGATAGCTTGGAGAAACAGAAATTTCCTGAGTAGGGTACAAGGCTGGCAGAAAAGACAGGGACTTTGCCACAAGGTGGAGCTTCCACCACAATTCTGCAAAGTGGAATGTATTCCAAAAGAGCAAAGTGTCTGCAACATAGTCCACAGATCTTGCAACAGTTGTGACTTCTTACCATTTCGTTATGTCGTGAGCTTTTGTGCACACAGTGGGAAGAAGTTTTAAGTTACGGCACTATTTATTCTCTTAGAGCTTGTGCAGTTTTAAGGGATGCTTTAATCACAGCGAAGGCCAACCAGGTCCTTCACTTAATGAGCATTTGTGACCTGCTTCAAACTCTGGTTAAGAATTCTGACTAATATGAATGGATACTGGATAAGCAGGGAACCTGGCTTGTTCACTGGGATGTGCCAACATATCCCTTAACCACAGTTATGGTGGGAGAAGAAATTCACACTGGTGAGGGTCTGGATGGACAGTATGTCTGTGATCTTGCAGCTCTGGGTTCCATTGATGGAAGAAAGGTCAGATATAAATTTAAGAAAATAAATAAAAATATGTAGTGAAGGAAATCAGCCCTGAGTGCTCACTGGAAGGACAGATCCTGAAGCTGAAACTCCAATACTTTGGCCACCTCATGAGAAGAGAAGACTCCCTGGAAAAGACCCTGATGTTGGGAAAGATGGAGGGCACAAGGAGAAGGGGACGACAGAGGACAAGATGGTTGGATAGTGTTCTCGAAGCTACCAGCATGAGTTTGACCAAACTGCGGGAGGCAGTGGAAGACAGGAGTGCCTGGCGTGCTCTGGTCCATGGGGTCACGAAGAGTCGGACACGACTAAACGACTAAACAACAAGTGAAGGAAACTCCCTCAAAACTTTGCCATCATCCCTTACCACTTATGAGATGGTACTGAATCGGATCTGCAATGAATTCTTCCTACTGCCCTCCCAAAAATGCATTGCTGTTTTTTCTACATCTGTCTGTGTTTTATCTGGAAGGTAGTCTACAGATCTTGGGTTTAGGTTGTGTGGTAGAATGAGGTTGTTTCACATGTATCTCTCATAGTTATGAATTGAGTACAGTAAGTACAATGAAATAGTTATATTTCCTCAGGATTTTTCCTTATAAGTGATGTATGTACAGGGAAGCATAGTTTCTAGTTGTGCATGAAGTATTGAATACTGGTCATAAAAAGATGGCGGCACAAGTAATGTTGCTTAAGGCTTTATATGGAGGTATTAATGCAAAAGAGAAAGGATCTCAAACTCAATGCGACCTTGTATCAGTTTCAAGGTTGTCAACATCACTTGCTGTGTTATACAATATCCATTGTCCTTATAAAACAATAAAAAGGACACCACAAAGATTTCTGCATTATTCTTATTAGCATGGTTATGTTTTGGAATGTAATTAGTTTTCGTGTAACATTTTCCACGACATTGAAAGAATGGGATGTTTTACTCCAATGGTCTCTTTGGTCTTGATTTGAAAAGCACATTATTCTGTTTACAGCTTGTTCCCTTTTAAAGGACACTGATGAATGGCTTTTGTGTGACCCACCATAGGCCCATTCAGATTAACGTTTAACTAGAAAATGCCTGTTCAAGTAAAAAAGGACAAAAATCTTCACTTTCATATCAATAAAAAGTAAGGCAAAAAAATTATATTAAAAGGAAAAACCCTGGAAGCTACAGGCAGTATTGGATAAAAGAGTGAACTTTGTTTTACACCATACTCATTCACGACACACAGCAAATTACAGCAGATGAAAGCTATTTGCCATTGACTGGGTGATGAAAGTTCAGCTCTGACTTTGCTGAAAAGTGAAGTCCGGCCACTGATGTGACACATGCAGCTTTCTCCAGGCTTTTGCAGCTTGCGTGGCAGATGTGCCTACTAGCAAACTGCAAGGTACTTCTGCTTCAGTTTTTTCCTGGCCAACCAAGCTATGTTTCCTTTTCTCCCAGCTACATCTGTACTATGGTCTGGGTGCCATATTTTAAGAAGGACATTACCAAACTCGAGTTTTTCTGGAAGAGGCTTGCCAGGATTGGGTATGTGTATTGGGTATTGAGGGACACGGGTGGCGCTGTGGGTTAAACCACAGAGCCTAGGGCTTGCCGATCAGAAGGTCGGCAGTTCGAATCCCCGCAACGGGGTGAGCTCCCATTGCTCAGTCCCTGCTCCTGCCAACCTAGCAGTTCGAAAGCACGTCAAAGTGCAAGTAGATAAATAGGTACTGCTTCAGCAGGAAGGTAAACGGCGTTTCTGTGCGCTGCTCTGGTTCGCCAGACGTCATGCTGGCCACATGACCCAGAAGCTGTACACTGGCTCCCTCGGCCAATAAAGCGAGATGAGCGCCACAACCCCAGAGTCGGCCACCACTGGACCAAATGGTCAGGGGTCCCTTTACCTTTCTTTTATGTGTGGAGTCCAAAGCAGAACAATGGAAAGGACGGGTATGCTTAAGCAGGGGAAGAGTAAGGGGAGACATAATAGCAGTTTCCAGGTATCTGAAGGGCTGTCAATTAAAGCACACTGCTACCCTGCAAATAATCCTGGGCTTTAAAAGTGTCCAGGTCAGGCTTGGGCTTCATTGGTTAACTGTCAGCTTGGCCTTGCCTATCAGGCTCTTATCTGTCTAGACTGTAATTCCAATGCCAGCTGATCACCATTAGGTTTCAGTACCACAGTTTCATGTCTCCAGCTGACTCCAAGGCTGCCTATGAGCCAGCATCACAACACCTGTGTTTGAGACCAGGCCTGTAAGTGCACATCATAACAAGGACCGGAGCAGATGACAGGCCCATTTTATGCTTCAGATGGAGATTTAAAAGCCTATGTGAGATGGCAACTCTCTCTCATGCTTCGGACAGGCTGGTCACCCCCTCTTTTTGTTCATTTGTTTAAGAGCTACATTTACATTTAAGCATTACCAATGACTGCACAAAGTATGCCTTAGTGAGGAGCAATAAGAGGAGCATTTAGGAGCAGAGCAGAGCTCTGTATATAGTGCTATAAAGATAATAGCTATTCTTATAGAACTACAGCTCCATCCTAACCATGCCTATTCACAAGTGAGTCTTCGTCAATGGGGCTTACTCCCACGTAAGTAAGGTTAGGACTGCAGCCTTTGGGATCTGCCAAATCTACACAACTCTATTATGTTCAGCATTAAGGGATGGGCATTAAAACAGTTAAGGGGCAGAAACGGCTCGAGAGAGTTTGGTAAGGAATAAGTTGCTCCCTTGTTCTCTTTTGCATGGCGAGTTCCCGCCCCCCACCAGGATAAATAAAGACACAAGACACCATAATTTAAGGTTAAATGGGCGAATTAGGCCACAACTTTATTGAATTCAGGAATGAGAGGCATTGGCTTAGGCATTGGTCCTAACGACTATCCGGCTCCAGCCCATTTGCTGGAGACACGGGAAGGGTTAACACCATAGTGGGGGAGTCTCCTGCTGAGGCACGTCAACTAGGAGCTCCCCCGGGTCACCGCTCGGGGGCGTGCCTTTGGCCCACACCTCCATAGGCTTCGGACAGGGCCACGCCCCCCGGAGTCCTTTATCGGACCACCCTTCGTTCACTGGGGGGAGGTGATGGCGTTCCTCCCCCCCCCACATCCTCTTAACCCCTTCTTGCCAATGCCTAACTGCCAATGCCGAGGAGTTGTGACAAGTTGCTACGAGGTAGGCGAAAAACCAAATGGCTGTAAATTGCCAATTGGGAAAAATTCCTACCATGCCCCTTGCGGCGACAGACCGAAGTCCATAGCAAAGTCAGAGACCTACCTAAAGCCTACCTAAAGGGAGGGTGGGAAAACGTGGGGGCTAGCCGGCGAGAAGAGGGCGAGCCCTGTCCACGCTGGCCCTAAATAGGGCAGGCCACGCCCCCCCAGCCAGCCGATTGGCTGGCTGGGGGGGACGACACGGCCGGTATTCCCTTGCTCTCGTGGGGGCTGAAACCAGCCCCCGCTCACTTGAGGGTGGGCGTGAAGCCCGCAACCCCACCTCCTGGGCAGGCCGGAAGTGGCTTTGCGTGGCGAGTTCCCGCCCCCCACCAGGATAAATAAAGACACAAGACACCATAATTTAAGGTTAAATGGGCGAATTAGGCCACAACTTTATTGAATTCAGGAATGAGAGGCATTGGCTTAGGCATTGGTCCTATTGACTATCCGGCTCCAGCCCATTTGCTGGAGACACGGGAAGGGTTAACACCATAGTGGGGGAGTCTCCTGCTGAGGCACGTCAACTAGGAGCTCCCCCGGGTCACCGCTCGGGGGCGTGCCTTTGGCCCACACCTCCATAGGCTTCAGACAGGGCCACGCCCCCCGGAGTCCTTTATCGGACCACCCTTCGTTCACTGGGGGGAGGTGATGGTGTCCCCCCCCCACATCCTCTTAACCCCTTCTTACCAATGCCTAACCGCCAGGGATCTGCCAAATCTACACAACTCTATTATGTTCAGCATTAAGGGATGGGCATTAAAACAGTTAAGGGGCAGAAACGGCTCGAGAGAGTTTGGTAAGGAATAAGTTGCTCCCTTGTTCTCTTTTCCTTTCATAGCTAGTGCTTTTGTTTCCAGGACAGGATGCAAGCCTTTCCACCTTTTATTACAACCTGCTGCTGCATCAGTCTTAAACAATAGGCTTTAAAAGGCGTAACTTCTCATTCCTAACGGTTCTAACTGTCAAACACACAGAGAGAGACTGCTTTGACACCAGGCACTGCATATATTTAAAAGCTGGCAACAAATTCGTATTACGCTCCAGTTGCCAATCAGGCAGAGGATCTGCTTTGTCTATTTCACAGGAACGAAGAGTGATGTTATTTTGGCAAGGCATTTCAGGATTTATGCCAGGAGAACCGTCATCAAGTAAGATAACATATATAAGCAGCCTCAAAAGCAGCCAGTGTTCAAGGCCATCAACACCAAGGCTATGAGCACATTGTCGGCTTACAACACAGCTAGGTTGTTCTTTTTCTCAATTTGGATCAAAGCTGGTTTGGGGAAAAATTCATCAAAGCGCAATGTTTCATAAGAAACGACAGGATAGGTGTGGATCGTGGCTAATATCACGTGTACACCAATTCCCAAACTGAGAGCACTAGGATGCAGAGTAAACACAGTTGTGTACACAGCCCAAGACACTATGAGTGCCACTTGCAGCTGCTCAAACTGCTGCCTGTTTGATTTACTCATCAAGTGCCTTTTGCACTTGTGTTTAACTTTGAAATACAGGTGGAGCCAGAAGTCTAGGAACAGAACTCTAGACTTAGTGGTCACCTGTCCTCAGCGGTGTAGCTAGTCACTTGGGTGCCTGGTGTGGGGGCGTGTCCTGCAGCTGGGGGCGGGATGAGCCGCCCATGGGGGCGGGGCGATCCATGCCCATGGGGGTGGGGTGAGCCTCTCTGCCGCCTCCCCCTCAGCTGTAGGGCGGCTGAGGGAGAGGCAGTAGGCAGATGCAAGTCCCACACTGCCGTTTCAGGCAGTGCAGAACCTGCAGGCACCTAAGTCACCGCGTCACTCCTAAAAAGTTCCTTGAGCCTAATTTTTTTTTAAAACTCATTTTGTCACCCCCCCCTCCGTGATGACACCTGGGGTGGACCGCACCCCCCTTCTTCCGCCACTGCCAGTCCTGCCCCAACCTTCAGTTGCTTCACATCTTGTGGCGGATGGGGTGGGGTGCTCCTGCTAATTCTATTGAGCGAGGCCTTGGACTTCTTCCCCAAAGCTCTTGTAGTGGGGCTCTAATTACTAGATGAGTGGCAGCATAGCAGGCTGAGTGATCCTAATACTTCAATATGCCAGGGAGAGAGTAATACACCACTGCTACACTAACAGCCTATCAGGCCAGTTCTGGCACAGTGTGTGTCGTCGTGGCACATTCTGGGTTTCTTCCAAGATCGTGCCAAGGAGAATGTTCCATTGGTGCAAAGATTTCTCCCTGCTCAACGGAATGTTTTCCCTCTCCCCTCGCCTTGATGCCACAGAAGATCCTACGGCAGGAATGGAATAGAAGGTGTTTTTGCTTTAAATGTAAAACAAATGAACAGAAAAGTCCATCAGGCTGCAATTATTGTTGGAAGTGCAACTGCAGATAGTGTGACTTAAGGGTTATTTTTGTTAGTTACAGTTACAGTCAACTAGCTGGGGGTGGGGCAGGTGGAGGTGTTGCTCATCAAACCATGCAGAGTGGCATGATGCTTGCCAATGTGGCACTGTGCCCTGATTGGCTGTATAGTTCTGAAGGAGTTTTCCTCTGCATGTTTGGTTGAATGCTTCCTTGTTATGTACAAAACCTCATGTAAGAAAGACAAAGACCCTCTGCTCCTTTCTCCCTCAAATTATACAGTTTTTGTTCAGGTTCTTCAGTAATATGTAACCAGGATTTATTTTCTTTCTGAACTCAGACTGTGTTATTTGTGAACAATTGTAGGCACACTTACTAGGGAGCAATGCCCAGTGACCACAGTGGGACTTCCAGAGGACACATGTTTGGTTTACTTAACTATTTTCATTGAGAATACAAAGAGAAAGGTGTAAAGCTTGTCTGTTCTGCTGCAATGTTTGAGAAATGTATGATCACGTGGTCAAATTTTTTCACTGATTCCTAGCACACTGCATGGAATCTGCTGCATCATGATTGCTAGGTTATAGCTGACAGAATGGCACAGTATGGTGGAGGCGGGGGAATCCCAGCAGTTCTATTAATTTACAGCTCTTCTTGTTGAAATTTCTATTCTCTCGAGTTAGATATTGACACATGCACACTCTCGATCAAAACTGACAGCAGGTTCCACAATCAATCGCAAAGTGACCAGAACACTGAAATAGGTAACGATGCAGTCCTAAACATGACTAGTCAAAAGCAATTTCTACTGAATTCAATTAGGCTTACACCCAATGAAGTGGGGTTAGGATTGCAGCCTAAGGCACTATTCCATATTTGGTTTAACTTGTGCATTCTTGTTGCCTAAACAAACCACATCCATATTTAACATCAGCACTGATGCCTACAACTAAAAGCCACAACTATGACCCACTGCATGTACTAAGCTGTGTACAAACAAGAATAGACAGTCATTGCTGTCAGCAGTATGTTCTCCCAGAATAAAAGTGACAGAGAACACAAATTCACCAGGAATCTCTTCTATACAGTTCCCAGTTGAAATAAAAGTGGGGTGGAGGGTAGTTGTCTAGTAGTGTAGATGTGTGTTTGAGCTCAAAGAGATTGTTGCTGACTGGTCTCCTGCATAAAGTAGGTTAAAAGTTATTTAGTGTGTTCAGTCATATATTTTAAAACATTTATAGCCATAGATGCACTAATATTCATTTATTTAATGAGAGTACTTTTAGCTTGCACTTCATCATATGATCCCAGAGGGGGTACATGCAATTAAAAAACACTAAGAGCTGTTCCAGTGCATCAAAAAGAGCTGGTAAAAACAAAACAAACTCAATTTCAATGCAAAACATTATTACAATTACAGGGGGGGAACCTACAGCGCACATGAGTGACCAAGAAATGGCAAACAAATGGGTACGTCTTTACCTGATGCTAAAACCCATAATATTCCCCTTTCCACTGTATTACCAAGAGCTGGCTGACTCAATCTACAAAAGAATATTGGCTTCACTTAACACTCCTACTTACAATGTATTTCATGCTAATTGCATACAGAGTACGACATGATGCACATATTTGTTGTGGGTTATGCCAAAATATTATTCGTCAGGCATGCATTATGTTATTCCTGAAATAAGTTTTCAACCACAGTTTTTAGGTAGCAGAAATTCTACTTTCTAGTGGAAAGCAATATCATAGAGTACTGGATAGAAACAAAGCAATTTAAAAAATGAAATGCAACGAAGACATTCATTTAAAATCCTTTCCTTTGCAATGTAGCGAAGCCGGACCATATTACCCATGTATTCCAGACAGCTCCTCTCTATTAACCTTTTGAAATGGCAGTCCAAAAGCACAGCCTCCATTCTGCTTTGCACAGTGAAAAGACCCCCTTTTCTGATTTGTACTATCGTTTCCTAAGACGGAAACCCGCCCATATGGGGCATCTGACGTTAGGAGCTTGGAAAAACAGGCTTCAAAAGTAAGCAGACAATGTTAGGTCACTTTTTTCACATTTCTGGCTTTTGCAAATTGGAGGGCTCTTTTCATCTTCCATTTCAAGGGAGATAGTTGTGGCCTGTTGCTTTGTTTAAACCACACGAATAAGTCCCATCCTCCACAAAGGAAAAACCAGACCACTCAGACAATTTCCCAAAACAAAGTGCATACAATCCTTTCCTGCAAACCAGAACATTATTCTTGAACAGGCAACCTTCCGCTGTGATCCACTTCAGCCTAGCTCTAAATACCAATGCTGAAAAAGCGACCTTTTCTTACAAGCCCTTCTGCAATCTGCCTACCTTTTTGGAGCTTACCTTCCACGCGATGGAGGGGCAGGCTGCCAAGGTGAAGGTAACTTTCTCTGTCACCACATTGAATGTGACGCGAAACATGACGGCTCATACTCATGTGGTCCCGAGGCCCAGGTCAGGGAAAAAAGACAGCAACACTTGTCTCCCCTGCTCCAGAGCAGGCTGGCTGCGCACTCGTGCCACACTGCACTCACGCATTCGGCAACCCCCTAACCTATTGATCGAAGCAGGAGCCTCAGAGTGCTGTGTAGGCCCCACTATTCCTCAGCAGCCTTTCTTCGTGTGTGTGTGTGTGTGTGTGTGTGTGTGTGTGTGTGTGAACTAATCAGATTAGCTGGTTTTACCAGTCTGAGTGGAGACTAACAGGTTAGCCAAACAGTTTGCATGGGGGAAGGGAGGAGAGATCCGAGTACAGAAATCAAACTGGTGCATTTATTAAAGCAGGGGAAAACAGACCTCCTTTGAGAATCGCTCCTTTGTCTCTCCTCTCAGTGTTGACACAGAGCCATGACATGCATTGTACATTTACACATGCTCTGTGGGGAGCTGGGCTTCTCTATGGGCCTTGTCTCAAAATCTGAGCGGCTGCTCAGCGCTACCAAAGTCTACTGAGGGGTGACCTTTTTTCTCATGGGATCTGGCTCTTGAAGGTAGGGAAGGGCATCTGTCAATTTGGGTTTCTCTTATGTTTCTCATTTCCCCAGTCTTGAGTTCTCTACGTTTCCACTTCAGTTTGTGATTAAAAAAAAAAAAAAAAGTCCTCATGAGAATCCAGTGAATTTCTCCTAATGTTTACTTGCAATTTTGCCTAATATACACATTTTAGCAAAGTGAATTCCTCTAATATAATGCATTTTAATGTTATTTTCACTAAAATAAGCATGTTTGTTTGTTTACATCCATACTCCACCTTTTGTCCAAGGAGCTCAGGGAAATGTACACATTTTCATCCCCTCTTCATTTTATACTCACAACTATCCTGTGAGGTAGGTTAGACTGAAAGATAGTGACTGGCCCAAGGTCACCCAGTGGGTTCTTAGTTGTATGGTGATGTGACCATGGTCTCCCAGGTTCTACTCCAGGACTGTAACTACTACGACATACAGGGTCTTACACACACTTCACCCCAGTATATTCAGGTTTGTACACTACTCGGTTGGAGAATAGCATTGCAAAACTCAGAGAAGTGTGAATTTCAAAGGATGGCTGCATTTCAGTTCAAGAACTGTTTTGTGAATTAGGTAGGTTCACCTTTGAATGTGAACCAGATGAAATTTCTTTCCCCTCCCTCCTTACTGGTGACCTTTAATCCTGGACCTTGGGTACTTGCACAAATAAATCTGTGTTAATATAGTGAGAATGAAAAACTCTCTCTGCAGTAATATTGGTAATGCCATGTGATTAGTTCTGTTCAGTGCTACACAGCATTATTCACACTTGGTAAAAATGTACATGAGAATATCTAACCGACACTCACTCCAGGCATTGACCGCCTCACATATCATTTGTGGAAAACTTACAATCATTCCTTAGATAATGTGTTAGAATATAATTATACTGATAACAACATGCATTTTGCCCAAGTAGTTAACCTAGTCAGACAATGACTTTTAAACATGCATTGTATTGTGGACCATTAATCTGGTTTCCATTATTCTTTTTAAACCAACACATCTACTTTCATTAGGGATGTGGCTAAGAGACATAGTAAGGAAAAAGAAATTATTTGGTTCTAATCTCACCTCTGTCACATGGGCCTTTTTGGCTGAACAGCACAGAAATTTTAAAAAACGTAACTTTAATAATGATCTCACTAAGTGCCCTTTGTCAAGCCACCACCCTCTCAGCTTCAGTCCTCTTAATCTGTAGCATAGGGATAATAATACTAATTAACAATATCCAAGTTGCAATGAGGATTACAAAATACTGCATGTAATATTTAAATACCCCCAAAGCCCTGGATAAATGCTAAGGATTATTATTTTTCAGTGGCTTTCAAATTATATCCATATTATATTATTAATGCACATGTCTTCCCTTAAATAATCCTTGGTACTACTGTTTTACCCCTTGAGGAGCTACAATTCCCAACACCCTCAAACTACAGTTCCAAGGATTCTTTAGAAGAAGCCACGTGCTCTAAATGGGCTACCTTCCCAGGTTGATGAGCCACATCTGCCCCTCACTTCCCTCTGCAGCATGTGCAGAAACCGCCTTCTTGACCATGGGACCCACTATTGGTCTTGTCCGCTCAATCTACCAGTGCTTCCAAAACAGAGGAGGGTGCAGGACAAGTTGTAGCCTCGGCAGAGTCCAAGGGCCAGATAGAGGGGCTTGGAGGGCCACATTTGGCTCCCAGGCCTGTGGTTCTGCGGCCCTGTTTAAGGCAGCTGCAGGTTACTATTTTATTATGCATCTTATTTATACATAGGCAAGCCTGTAGTTCACAGAAGGCTCAGCATCCTCTCCTTACTCTTTGCCTTCTATGCTCACCTGTCCTACTCTATCCCTCTGAAGATGGTATAATAAGGCTCTCCGGCTGTTTCCAGCCTTGCGAGGAGTCCACCTGTCAGGTTTTCTGGGCTGCCTGCAAGGGAGATTTTCCTTGTTGCATCTCCCAGCACGCTGGAACCGAAATAGCAGCTGAACACCCTGGGATGCCACAGTAATAGCTGAATGTGTCTTGCTGAATATCCTTTGCCCATCCGTATGGATTAAGCTACGCTGTTTTTGTCATTGCATGTTTAAGTACAGCTCCCAAAGTCTCCCTCCCTCAAGCAGTTTAATCTTTGAGAAATCAATTTGGATTAGCACAGAAATGTAGAACAAGGTTACCAAGTAGGGGAAACCCACTAACCCATTTTCAAAGCAAATTTTCAGAAATAACATAAGATACAAGGAGCAAGCCAATCCCTTAAGGGAAAGCTGAATGTCATAGGTTGCAGCCAGATCTCCCATGTATAAAGCTTCCTTTTCTTGAGTCATTTCCTTATCATCTTTCCTTCCAGGAGCCACTGTGGTGTAGTGGTTAGATTGTTGGGCTAGGACCTGGGAGACCAGAGTTCAAAACCCTGCTCAGCAATGAAGTGCACAGGGTGACCTTGGGCCAGTCACCATCTCTCAGCCTAACTTACCTTACTGTGTTGTTGTGAGGGTAGAATGGATAGGTGGGAGAACCATGTATGCCACCCTGAGCTCCTTGGAGAAAAGGTAGGATAGAAACGTAATACATAATTAAATAAACATTCATCAGTTGAGGAACTAACAGGAAGTGCTGTGACAGACAGTCTACAGAAAGTTAATGCCATGCAACTGATCTGCTCCTCTTTAAGGTATGCTGGCTGGGGCTGATGAGATCTGTAGCCTAAAACAACTGGAGGGCAGAGGTTGGCAAAGGCAGGACTAGAGGTTCCAAAAAGATTGCAAATAGGTGTGGTGGAAGAGGGAGCCCCTGCTTCATTCCTTTGTGCAGTGCCACCACTGGTCGCCAGCTCAAATAGTTAGCACTCACCACTGCTTCCGATTACTTGTAAAGGTACAGTGGTGCCTCGCAAGACGAAATTAATTCGTTCCGCAAGTTTTTTCTTCTTGCGAGTTTTTCGTCTTGCGATGCACGGTTTCCCATAGGAATGCATTGAAAATCAATTAATGCGTTCCTAGGGAAACCGACTTCAGACCAGGTCCGGGACAGTCTGTCCCCCGACCTCTTCTGAAGGCTGGGGGGGGGGACAAGGGCTTTTCTTCCCACTCCACCCCAGCATTTTAAAACCCCGGGACAGCGGAGGGCTTCTCCGCTGTCCGGGGCGATCTTAAAATGCTGGCGGGCGGCGATTTAAAATTGCCCCGGGACAGCGGAGGACTTCTCCGCTGTCCGGGGCAATTTAAAGCCTCTGGGAAGGCAGGCAGGGGGACAAAGACTTTGCCCCCGCCAGCCTTCAGAAGAGGTCCTGGACCTCTTCTGAAGGCTGGGCGGGGCGAAAGTCTTTGTCCCCCCACCTGCCTTCAAAAGCTGTCCAGCCAAGGCTCGCGGACCTCTCCGCAAGCAGCGGCTGGCTCTGCAGTTATTTGTATATTTCCCAAACCCATTTTTTCTCCAAGAAGTCTTGTTAGGAACCCTCATTTCAGTCTATAAAACTTTTATTTTTTATGTCAAGTGCAAGAATTCACAAGATGCTGCTATTATAATTATAATTAATAAATAATAATAATATCATAATCATCCCCTGAGGGGACTCAAGGCAGTTTACAGATAAAAACAGGAAGAGCTAAAAACATAGAAAAACTACGGTAATCATTAAAATGCAATTAAACATGGATAGAATACATATATTGTATTTAAACATACATAAAATGCAATTAAACATGGATATATACATATATAAAATCATGGTACCTTCCAGGTATTGTTGGACTCTAGCTCCTTTCAGCCACAACCAGGTGAGAAGAGTTGTAGTCCAGCAACATCTGGAAGATGACAGGTCACAAACCTCTACACTAATGCAATCACCCTGTTTGACTCAACCACCCTCTGTTCTTTCCAGGCTTGGGTATCACCATTAATCCTGAAGCCTTCCACAAATCTGGAGGTACCCCCAAAGCCAGTATGCTTTTCAAGAAGTTCATTAGGTAAAGGATCGGCAGGTCTCTCTCTCCCTCTCTAATAGAAATCCCCCACAAAACCATCTGGCCTCACAGATTTCTAATTCTTGAGCTTTTTAATCACCTGAGATACCTCCTCCATGGAGCCTTCTTTGGTCAAAAGAAGTCTGTGCTACACTGTGATCTGACAGACTCCCACTCTATTTAGCTGTCGCTCAACAGCTTCAGCTACAGGCTTATCTGTAGCACATAAAGAGATACAGCAGACGGCAAATCAATGGCAGATGTCTTTTGTCCATAGATATGGTTCCCCATTTCGTTCCTAATGCAGGTTATTTTGGCCTTATTCATGCCATCAGACATGTCGCCACTTCACCCTTTCAGCACACGTGTGCTTATGCTCACAGAATTCACAGCATATTGTGCCAAACTAGTGTCTGAAATGTTGTCATGTTAACACGGTTTGGGCAGGGCGGGGCAGGGCGGGGGATATTCCATGCAAACCACAGGAAACTTACAGTGCATAAGTCAGGTGATTTTCCGAGACTGGAAACATTTTTTTTCTAGAACCAATATGAGCGCTAAACTTCCACAAGATTTCAAGAAGCAGATTTTTCATCAAGGGGGGAAATTCCACAAAATGCAAAACAGGTAAGGAAACGTTGGGAAGATGGAATAAAGTGATGTTTGAGTGCAACTGTCGTGCAAGACATCTTCTTATGTTCATATACTTTGAGAGATAACATAAAGAAAATTCAAGTCTGAATTGCTAGAATCAATACTCTACTGTGAGCAAATCCTGTTGTAACTCCAAAGCATACATAACCCTAAACCAGGAAAAGCTGGTCAATTAAAGTTATTACTTTATCTCCTTAGTATAGTCTCTGAGATCAACAAAGCAGCTACTTCCTCTGCCAATCCAACCAACTGTTCTGCACCCAGGAGGCCAGTCAGATTCTCAGATAATGTTCTGATTAATTACATTCTTGAGTGTGTAGTCCTAACTCTCTGAAATCAACAGATGTAGCACCACCGTTTGATTTAGGTAGATAAAGACTTCAGCAGCGAGCTGTTACTTTTCATATACCTGAAGCAACACATTTCAACTGCTAAATGTATGGTAGGGATGGAAGCTTTAAAACAAAATCATGGTGGCCTATGGTTGGAAACTCCTAAGCACTAGAAGGGAAATACTGAATGAACTTCCTAAAGCAATAGTCATGGCACTTGGGAGCATTTCATCCTAAAAGGCTTTGTTAACATCTTTTCCTTTGAAAGTTACCGTTTCTTTCCTACTGTTGCATCTATTGCCCACCTATTGTCCGCCCCAAGACAGCAGGAAGCTGAGTTCAAAAAGTAAAGGTAAAGGTAAAGGGACCCCTGACCGTTAAGTCCAGTCGCAGACGACTCTGGGGTTGCAGCGTTCATCTCACTTTACTGGCCGAGGGAGCCGGCGCTTGTCCGCAAACAGCATGACTAAGCCGCTTCTGGCGAACCAGAGCAGCGCACGGAAACGCCGTCTACCTTCCCACTGGAGTGGTACCTATTTATCAACTTGCACTCTGACGTGCTTTTGAACTCCTAGGTTGACAGGAGCTGGGACCGAACAACGGAAGGTCACCCCGTCACGGGGATTCAAACCACTGGCCTTCTGATCGGCAAGCCCTAGGCTCTGTATATTCTCAATAGCAAAAGAATGCCTGCGTGAGTGCAGGGGTTATGCTCATCTTTCATGCTTAGTTTTCAGTGCACTGGAAGAATCAAGGTCATAGTAGCACAACCAATCTAGTCTCTGGTACAAATGCTTGTAAGTTGACCTGGCAGCCACCTGGTGCAGCCAGCGCACATGTTTGCTCTTGCTGGGTTACTCTGTACCGAGAAGAGAATTTCCCACAAGACTTGACGGTTTCCCCAGAAGCATTATGAGAGTAACTGAGAAGGATTTTGCCTTGCTAGATTTTGGAAAAAGAGAACCTCGTCACAGTGATTCAGAAAAGGGTACTCCCTGCTCTCTGTGCCAGTACTTGGACAGCAAACATCATCATGTCTTTAGGAGCAAGAAGCAAGAGAGAAGCATGTGCTACAACCAGCAATTACCCATCACTGTTCGGATGTGGACACCCATCTCACTTCATTCAGCAAAGGTCCTCAGAGCAGGGACCTCGAAGATTCAAAGGTTTGGTAGGTACATCATATGGGAGGTGTGGTCTTCAGGGCCGGGACAGCTATTAGGCAGGGTGAGGCTGCCATCTCAGGCAGTGAGAGGCCCCAAGGCAGTGCTCCCATGGGTGCCCTGCCTGCCCCACTACTGACAGAGAAGCAGTGCTGGTATCGGTGCTGATTTTGGGTGAGATTGCGACAATTTCCGTCAAGATCTCGCTGAAGTCATGCATGACATCTTGTGCAATATTAGTGTGATCTCACCCCCAAATCAGCGGCAGGTCAGGACTTCCCATTTCGCCTCAAGCAGTGAAACAGGACACACTGCCCCCGGTGGTCTTCCACGCTTGCCGCAAACTATTTAAGGCTGACTTCAAACTGGTGTCCTCCAAGTGTTTTGGACTACAACTTCCATCAGCCCCAGTTAGCACAGCTAAGTTGGCGAAGGCTTGCCTAGGGTTTTAAAGGTTAGAACTAGCACTTTAAATTGGGTTCAAAATTTACTTTTCGTTAGCAAACTCAGTGAACCCTATTTAATAGTTAATCTGCTGGACAATTTTGCTGTACTATACAGAGCAAGTGCCACAGTTCTTCTCTATTAACGTATGAAAACAATATATGTGTAGTCTGATGCCATCTATGATTACTCTGAAGCAAATGTTAGAAGCAGAAGTGCCGCAGCTCAGTGGCAGAACATCTGTTTTACATGCAGGCACTCCAAGGTACAATCTCCAGCATCTTCAGGTAGGCCTAAGAATGACTCCTGCTTGAAACTTGAGAAAGATGCTGTTGGTCAGTTTAGAGTCAGATAATACTAAGCTAGCTGGATTAATGGTCTGGCTCAGTATGAGGCAGCATCCTATGTGGCTAAACATATCTCACTCATTTCAAAAGTAAAAGGTAACCATGTGGTCTATAAGTAAAAAAACAGCAACCCCAAAATCCGTATTAGGACAATACCTCTGTTAGGACAACCCAATTATCACGAAGTAGTATGCAATATTTTGAGTTCTCCAGAAGTACCGTATTTTTCACTCTATAGGACGCACTTTTCCCCCTCCAAAAATGAAGGGGAAATGTGTGTGCGTCCTATGGAGCGAATGCAGGCTTCAGGCAGCTATCCGCAAGCCTTCTGAGCATGGCAGGAGTTCCTGCCAGGCTCCAAAGGCTTGCGGATAGCAGCCTGAAGCCCGGGGAGCGCAGCGGATAGCGCCCGAAGGCTTGCGGATAGCACCGAAGGCTTGCGGATAGCACCCTGTTCTGGGGGCTGGGGTCGGGGGAAGCTTGGGCTTCCCCTGTCCCCAGCCCCGCAAGCTCTGGCAGCGGCGGCGAGGTTGCGCGCAATCTTGCCGCCGCTCCTGGACCTGTTCTGGGGGCTGGGGTTGGGGGAAGCTCGGGCTTCCCCCGTCCCCAGCCCCACAAGCTCCAGGAGCAGCGGCAACCTGTTCTGGGGGCTGTTCTGGAAGCTCGGGCTTCCCCCACCCCAGCCCCGTGGCTGGGGAAAAAAAATATTCCCCCCCTTTATTCCCCCCCCCAAAACACTAGGTGTGCCCTATGGTCTGGTGCGCCCTATGGAGCGAAAAATACGGTATTTATCAGGCTAGATGGTAAGCAAAGCAAACTTCGGAGAGGGGAGTTAGCTGATGGTTTGCCGATTTCAGTGGTGCTTACATAGCATTTAGCTCACATTACAGAGCATACTGTCTAGATTTGTGTGATGCTTCTCTCTTACTGTACTCCCCTTGCACTCTACCCTCCCTCCACCAGCCTGTCTGAATATGAAAGCCGATCAAAGCCCATATGCTAGGGTTTAACAGCTAAATGAAGTGAGAAAAACCTTCAATTAGCTGAACATGATTTCATCTCAGAAGGCAAAATATTTCTTTCCTCGAGCTTAAAACTAGCAAAAGCTAATTCAACATACATTATGCATTACAATTAAACTTTAGACGAACATTACTATCAGCAAAATGAATTGGGGGAAAATAATTGAATCAGTAAAACTAATAAGGGGGGATGGGGAAAACTAACATTAATACAGTCAATTGACTTAGTTGATATACGTCCTGAGCTGAGCCCGTAGAAAGAGGAATGAATGGCTTCCCTTTAATTTGTTTGTGATCCTCAGTTCAAAAGTGCAGATGGAGTGTAGGAAACTTAGAAGGCAAAGGGTGGGCAAGCAGGGCTGATGGGGGTCTCCATCCATGGTTTAAAAAAAAAAAAAAAGATCCATCCCTCCCACAAACTTCTGAAATTGCTGTTGGGCAAGGGAAATCACTAGTATCAAAGAACAGAAGGATACTGTTGGATCTTGAAGTTCAAGTTGCTAAAGGCATGTAAGAGCATTAACAATCATCATAGAATTGTAGAGTTGGAAGGGACCCTGAGGATCATCACGTCCAATACCCTGCAATGCAGGAATCCCGACTAAAACATCCAAGACAGATGGCCAGCCAACGTCTGCTCAGAAATCTCCAATGAAGGGGAATCCACAACCTCCCAGTTTAATTTGTTCCCTCAACACAAGCCGAGGGAACAAATTACAGATAATGGGATATAACACCCCCTACTTTAAATTAATTAGAATTTGTTTAAATGATGACTTTCTGAAGCACACGACTCTTTAAAAAAATGTTTTTATTAAGGATTTTCTTGTTCTGAAGCAACACAATTTTTTAAGTTCAATCCAAGCTATTAGCACCAGTAAGACTGGGGGAGAAAGAGTTGTACATCCATCCTCACCCCTTGACCCGCTTGTTTTGTTTTTTAATTTTCATTGCATGGACTCATGTTCTTGAGGGCTAAGCCCCTTTGGTTTGACAGCCTGAACAGTGTGCTGACACATGTCAGGTACCGTATTTTTCGCTCTATAACACGCACCCGACCATAACACGCACATAGTTTTTAGAGGAGGAAAATCCGTAGGCATGCCACCCGTAGGCATTCCCTCCATAACACGCACAGACATTTCCCCTTACTTTTTAGGAGGAAAAAAGTGAGTGTTATGGTGCAAAAAATACAGTATTTTTTGTCTGCAAATATTTAACCAGATGCAGGCTCTAATTCAGCTTCCTGTCTCCTAGCATCTGTGCACTGAGCCATCTGCTTTCATGCAAAGGGGTTGTTGTTGTTGTTGTTGTTGTGTGAATTGTCACAGCTAATATAGTCAAGCAAAAATTCAGACAGATTTCTAAAAGTTTACTAATTAAACTCAGGATTCATCTTGAAAAGTAGTTGAAGTTTGAGCAAAACAAAACAAAAAAGGTCAAATCCTTATTACTACTTCATTAATCATCATCAAATCGCATGTTTGTAAAAGAGGAGCATTTCACAACTTGGGAAGAAGGAAATTAGGTGTTTTAAATGGATACCAGGACTCCAAATAAGCAACAGAATACATTTTTTGAATAATCAATATTATCCTTTCTTAATATTGAAATATGATTTTAACAATCATATTTCAGTTAACACCATTCATTTTCATCTAAGACCTGCTCTGTATGTGTGTTTTTAAAACTGGTTACTAACTAGGTTTTAAAAGTTCCTGATTTCAGGATTACGACCATTTTATCAAGAAATTGATTATTTATATTATACATTGTAGTGAGAAAACAAGAGAAAACAGAAACCCACACTCATTGCTGTGGGTGCTCTGATGCTATGTATTTGATTTATTTACCGTAATTCTAAAAGAATTAAAGTAGCTTTGAAAAAATACACACACACATAATGAAAAAATGTCCTGTATTTTTCTTTTGTACTGTTGAATGAAAATTGTACTACTGTTTTCTTCTTTTCTTTCTGTTCTTTTATTTCATGTAGTATGTTTTTGTATTAGCAATGTAAAAGCTTTAAAATATCAAATAAAAGGTTAAAAAAGGTTCCTGATTTCTAATTGCTATGATCAGACTCCAGAGGAAGATACAGATGAACAATACTGCTTGCACAACAGAAAACCATTTTCATTACCGCAGAGAGCATCACAGTATTTATATACTAAACAATCTACTAAATCTCTTACATCCCATTTACTCTCCACCTGTCTCCCAGACTGAACAGCCATACTTGTAAGTAACACATAGAGTAATTAGGTAGCATACTAGAATTCAAATGGTTTAACACATTTGCTCTAGGAAGCTTGCCTTTCCTTGGCAATCAGAGCATGTTTAATCAGGGGAGGAGGAGAGCAAAACATATGCTAGATTAAGTAAATAAGAGGGAGATGTATTTGTGCTGAACCAATATTTGCTTTGAATCTCTGGGTAGCAACTGCATCATTTACCATGTTATCTGTTCTGAATAAACTAGGGGAATGCCTGTCGATATGATGAGTCAGATTTGGTGTGTTTGGAGGAAGGGCATGTATGGTATATGGTAGCAAGCATATTGTTGAACAGAACACAGAGATCTTACATCCCTCACTGGGCCCTTGTTACTAGTCACTAGTAACTTGTCACTTGTCACCTTGTTACTTGTAAATAAATAAACAACTATCGGACTTTTAGAAGACATCTGAAGGCAGCCCTGTTTAGAAAAGCTTTTAATATTTGATGAATTATTGTATTTTAATATTCTGCTGGAAGCCATCCAGAGTGGCTGGGGAAACCCAGCCAGATGGGCAGGGTATAAATAATAAATTATTATTATTATTATTATTATTATTATTATTATTATTAGTTTTGGCTATAGGACTCTCACACCTCCTTTCCAAAGCAAGAGCTTACTAGGCTTTGGAAAGGAGGCAGGAAGACAACCCCTTGGCTTGGCACCCTGTGCAGGGAAACTGGTCACACTGCCCCTAAATCCACCTTTGAGACCAGTGAGGGGTGGGGCTTTGGGAGAGTCCGAGGACTGGACAGAGGTGCCTGGAAGGCTACATTTGGCTCCAAGGCCTGAGGTTTGCCACCCTTGAATTAGCATGCAAAATATTTCTAAAGGTGTGCATGGCAGGTGAGATTAAAAAAAAGGGAAGCCCTGTGAAATCCAATCTTTATCTGCAATTGAGGTTACCTATATTTGAAATATAATCAAATATTGAGGGCAATCATTCACTACTAAAATGTATGTTTGTGTGGCAGATAAATTCTGAACAATATGATATTCATTCTTCCAAACAGGAAGCTTTTTTAAAGAAAAAACTTATTGTGGGCTATACAATCCACAATTGACACATTTGAAGCTGGGGTGCGGTGGGAGAAACCTGTCAGAAAGCCAGAATTTAGCAATTAGCACTGAAAGAAAGTTTTTAATAGCTTGGAACAGAAGTCTTGTGTCACAACACTGCTCTACAGCCTGGTGCAGCAGAAAATGACTTTAAGGATGCAAAACAAAATCCCCCCTTTTAATGGCTGGCTCACTAAAAGAGGCATTTGTGTATATTTGTCTTGCTTAAGAAGTACTGATGTAAAGAGGCACCCAATGGTGAACTGATCAGCCATGACGGTAAAACCCAAGCTAATGGAAAATACTTCCCAATATTACTGCAGAACTTTAATAGTGTAGTCGGAAGTAAACCCCATTGTGTCCACTGATGCTTACTTTCCCGTAACTGTATTTAGGGCTGCAGCCTTAAAGGACGTCTCCTTCGAAATTGTTGGTAATTTATTTACAGCTTGCAATGTAATGTAAGAACGTAAGATGAGGTTGCTGGATCAAGCCATTGGCCCATCTAGCCAAGCATCCTGTTCTCACACTGGTCACCAGATGCTTGTAGGAAGTCTGCAAGCAGGGCATGAGTGCAACAGCCCATCTGCAGTTCCCCACAACTGGTATTCTGAGGCATAAAAGGGCATTTTTGACCTTGAGAAGAAGCTGGAACCTTCAGCTAGGAGCATAAGTATTTCACAGTGGGGCACCAAGATTGGCGCTTATAACTGAATATGAATACACATCATTCTGCGAGTGGAGCATGGTGGGAAGAACCGTGGGACTATGGGCAGTTGGTATTTTGGAGTGGAATTCAGCCACAACTTCAGGTTGTGCAGTTATAGCCGATTGACAGGTCTTGCACAACAAATCCACTTCCCCCAAAAGATCAGACCTTTTGAAGTGAAGAAATTTACTGGGAAGTGCGGGATATAAATATTAGGAGTGATCATTTGTCTGTCTGTCTGTCTCTGCTTTCTACCACCAAGGCAAGTAGCTAGGCCTGCAGCATAGAAACAGCACAAGGCCTCGAACTTTGACAGTTACACTCTGACATCAACAGAGGCCATGAAAATCTTTTTCAAAGCATGAAATTTAGACAGCCCTATACACAGCATTTCTCCACAGATAGGTTTGTAGTTTCCTCTGTGTGTAGTATAATGACATCCATCATGTCCAGAGGGGTTGTTTTCTGTTGCTTCTTGTCCTCCCAAAGGCACCCGTGGTGCTACCTTGAGTGAGCAAACAGCAAAATGAAGGATCAGGTGAATGAGTGGACAAGTCAGTAGCTTCAGAGCTAGTGTCGGGCTATTTGGCACCCTAGGGGAGGCTAACCACTTGCACCAATAATGTTCTTCTTGCAACCTGGGGATAACACTTGTTTTGACACAACAGCCATGTACCTCCCTGCAAACAAATCAGGATGACTGCTCAATGAACAGGTTGAATGGAAGTGCCCTTATACTAGGCGTACTCAGTTCAAATCCACAAAGCTTACTTGGTGTTCCCTGTAAGGTAGCTTAGTATAAGATTTATGCCTGTTGATTGCCTCTCAAAACTAACCTACTTCAAAGATACAGCTGTTTTGAAGATAACATTGTGAAGGAACCAGCTCCTATGGGCTGTTGGGGCTTCAGCTCCCAGAATAAAATATTTGAGGGGGCTGGGCCTGTGCGAAGTTGATGGGCATTCCCATTCAAATGGGGTGTGTGCACTGCATCATGTGATTAATTATGTGGGACGGGACTTACCTGCACCCCCATAATATTTTATTCAAATTGGTATCCCTGACACCAATATCCTTGGTATTACCAGGAGCACAAATCCATAGTGTTCACTTACCAGAATATGCTGCCTATGGCTTTCTCAGTCCATGTGATTCTGCATCACAGCTACACAAGAGAAAGAGCAGATACTGGGCACAGAAGATAGCAGTCTGTGGTCAGTTTTTCAATTTGCTTTGTATATGGTACGATGTAAATACCATGCTACTGCACTTTTGGATTATTAGTAATGTTCATTAAATCTATAGAGATCAGGACTTCCGGGGTGGCGCCTCCGGAAAATGGCGGAATTCCCTTCGGACTGAAGGGAACCCGCTGCACGGAGGCTTGGGTCCTGCCGCTACGGCGCAGCGGGGACCCGCAAAAACCACAGGCGGAAGAAGCCTGTGGACGTGGGACTCGGCGGGCACCGAGAGCGCTCTCTCCCCGGTGTCAGGAGCCCGGTAACGGGCTCCGGAGTGGGAGGTGCGTGGTGCTGTGAGTCGTCTGCTTCCTCCGTGCAGCAAAGCCGCACTGCCGTTATCGGAGAGCGCTGCCTTTTTCCTGGACAATTTGGCATCTAAAACATCTATCCGTGAGTACCTGATCTTGGAAGAGTTGAACCACTTTTAAGACTGGTGAATAAACAAATAATATTGGACTTGAAATTGAACTTAATTGGGACTCGGAATGGGAAGGTCTAAACAGGAAGTCGCCTTCCGTTCTTTTGTTATGTGAAGAAAGCAAAGACAAAATATACTAAAGCCTGAAAATTAAATTCTAAGAGAACTAGAATTCAACATCTAAGATTTTTGAACCCCCCCTTTGATTGCAGGAGAAAAAGGGGGTTGTATTTGGACTTTTCAATCCCAGTGGAAGTGAGTTTAAATTAAGCAATTTTCCACCGCCCTGAACCAGGAGCGGGCTGTCAGAATTGACGTTCTGAAGTTTATCCAGCTCGACAGTTAGTTAAAAGAAGGGTAACATTTTGATTCTACTGTTGCCTCTTGAACTTGGAAGGGGAATTTTGGATAAAGTGTTTCTGGAAAAAGAAAGATTGTTGCTGTTGCTTTTATTCCTTTAAAAAAAAAATTCCATCTAGTGGAATTTAGTGAAATTGCAACGCAGAGAGATTAAAAGAGAAGGACTATTGGACTATTCTCGTGGGAAAGAATTTTCTTTGACCTTGAAGGACAATGCTAGTACAAAGGCTTGAACAATTGTTCCTGGAAGGTTTTTCAAAACTAAGTGCCCAGCTGGACCAGATGCGTCAGGAGACGACCTTGATGATGGAAGTTACCAGAGCACAGCAGCAAACAAATGAAATTCAGTTAAAGGCTATACAAGCATATGAACCTGCTGTAGTGACGGAGGCTTCAGAGATGGAGGGACCTTTGGATGGGCAAGATCAGCCTTTGAACTTGATAAATGAACTTGGGACAAACCAGATTCGGAAAGATGAAATGTGGTCAGATTTGGAAATGGGGATGGATCGACCCCTCCATATGGTTATTTGGACCTTCCGAGTCTGGTGATGGGCTATCAGAGGATTGGAGTAGCCGAAGTCTCCAAGCTTTGTGGAAATTTGAAGTGGTATTATTTGCTGTCTGGCTTGGGCAATGGGTTTGGGATGGACTTGCTGCAAAGGGTCAAAAGCATTTTCTTGCTGGAGCATCCACGACTGGAAAGGAATCATCAACAAGAGTGGCGAAAGGGGCAAGAAAGAGACTTGAGGGCCTCTGGATACGAGACAACCAGGTTAAGGAGCCGGATTACCGAGATTAAAAGGACTGACAATCCCGGGTCCAGGGGAGGGAGGTTGGAAGCTGACTGGACTGAATTTGACTTATTATTTTTTCTTTTTATTTTTAATATTGGGAATCCTTACAAATGCTTGAAGGATGTTGAATGAAATTACATGGCTTAAGTAAGGATTGGTAAATGATTTGTAAAAAGGTAATGATGCAAGAATTTGGTAAATATTGAATATAAGCTATGAGTTTTAAAGTTTTTATATGACAAGAGGGAAAATAGAATAAGGAAACGTAATGACAGATTGTTATGAAAAAACAGAAAGGATTTGCTGTAAAAATTAAAAAATTAAGAAACAAAAGAGGGGAGGAGGAGGAAGTCTAGAAAGGAAGTCAATAGAGATTGTAAAGGATTTTATATTTTTGTTTTTCTGTTTTTCTTTTTTTTTCCTTTGCGGCTGGGTTTTCTTTTCTTTTTTGTTTATGTACTAATTTTGTTTTTTGTATTCTTAAATTTTTTTTGGAAATCTTTGTTGTTATTTTTTGAAAATTCAATAAATATTAATTATAAAAAAAAAAAAATCTATAGAGATCAGCTGGAGATTAATCTATTAAAACAGTTAGCAACATTGCCAGTGAAAAGGAATGCCACACAGCTGTGGCACCAAGGGTTAACCTTAAAGAGCAACAAACACAGGGCCCCTCCAGAGGACCTTTATTATTCAGCATCCATCCTGATTTGCTTGCACAATGCTTATGCAGTGGTTACACTATGTTTGGTACTTATTGAGCATTCATTCCAATTTATTCAGCAAAGAACATTCATCCTGCATTCACCTTGATTTGCTTGCAGGTGTTTACACATCTTCGCATTAATCACTCATTCACCCTATGCTTTTCAGTCCATTTACCTATCACTTTCCAAACCGCAAAATGTCTGGTTATTTATGGAATGGGAAACAATGGGGGCAGGGTAAGGACACCAAGAACAAAGGGATGTTTCTGACCAAACCACAAAGCTCAACATCCAGGGGCAACAAAGTGCAACACCAGAATAGTTTTTGTATTACCAAAGGTATCCTGCCTCGGTTCCCAGGCTTAAGCACAGCTGTGAAACTTGAGCTTTGCTGCTACAGAGATGCAGGATAAACAATGCCCCATAAATAAAGGAGGGGAGGGGACCACTATGGGAATGAGCAGATCTGTCAGTTTTGGTTTCTCTCAGTTTCTCTTTCTCATTTTGCCAACCTTAAGTTTAATTTTCCATACTACCACATCAGTTAGCATTTTTTTAAGTTCTCATGAATATTCATCAGCACTTTACTGCAAATTTCTTCTAATGTGCATTTTTCTGTTCAATTTTGCCTCATATAAACAATTTTGCAAAGCAACATGCCCTAATATGAAGCATTTTTGTGTGTTATTTTCAGCTCTACATAACGCATTTTCAGCACACTTTAGTATATGCTTTTTTGTACATATTACTTAGCTGGAAAAATGCATCGCAAAATCTGGAGAAGTGTGAGTTTTGAAGGATGGTTATGTTTCAGCTTACAGCTTATTTCGAAAGTGTAAATTAGGTAGGCTCATCTAGAAAACAAGCCTCCCTCACACAGAATGGTCACTTTACAGAGGATGGTACTCTGTTTGAAGGGCTCTGTCCAGTCCAAATCCCATATAAAGTTAAAGAACCACAAGTCTGAAGTTGCCCAATCAACAGTTTTCACCTGAACAGCAGACTGTGCAGGCACACAACCACCAGGAAAGCTCTGTATTGCATTCTATTTAAATTGAAGTAATTATTTCTAAATTAGTACCTACAAACATAAAATAAATACAAGCTGGTTGTTGTTGTTTTGCAAATCTGTCCCCTCCTTTGCCCTCTTTCTTGTGATGGTTTAGTGGTCCCCCTTACAACCTGAAGAATTAAAAACCAATCCCTCTTTGTATTCTTAAAATAAATAAATAAATAAATAAATAAATAAATACACACACACACACACACACACACACACACACACAGAAAGAGACACTGGAATTATTCTCTTTTTCATATAACTAGGTCTCATTTTGTTTTCCTGAAAATCAGTTGAAGATTTGTTTCCCATTGCACAATAAGATTTCTTACCTTATGGCTACTGATGTTTGTAATGGATTGTGTCGCTTTCCATCAAAACTGCTTCAGGATGCTTTTTGTTTTGCAGAGATGGAAGGCGCCAATGTTCTGATTACTCTGTAGTGTAAAAAGCACAGAAGAGCAGGTGCTTTGGGCTAGCTGGCCTGCGGACATGATAATTAAACATCCCTTTGGCAGCCTAACCCCCTGCATGCCACACAAACAGGCCTCAGCAGGGTTCAAGTAAATTAAAAGCATTCACTAGGTCTTTTCATATATAAATAACTTTTATATATTTCTTCTAAAAATTATCCTCTTCCATTGGGCATTGAATCATTACAATGCAAGATATCTTAGGACGTAGATCTATTCTATTTCCCTTTAATATATATATTGCAGGAGTTGGTCTAGATGACCCTTGGGGTGCCTTTCAACTCTACTATTCTATGTGTATATATTTATTAGCACTGTTACACTGATTTTTTTTATTTTTTGCTATTGTATGTTTTTCTCACGGCTTTTGCTAATTTTGTGCTACTTTTATATAATGATTCTTTTACTTTTATTATTGTATTTGTATTATATATTTTTCATGTGTGAGATGCCCAGAGGTGACAGATGATTGGGCAGGATAAACATGTCGAAATAAAATAAAACAAACAGGGTTCAACAGGGTGGAACGTGAGACTACTGCAGAAGGGCATAAACTGGCAGAAGCCTAAGCATAATGTAGTCAAAAAAATTGTCACTCAAGCTTTTGTGTGGTTTGCTGTGCAAATGTGGAACTGGGAGATAATGTCTATTCCATTCAACCCATGTTTACTCTGTGAGATCCCTCCCATCCCAAGTGCATGTGTATGGATTTGGGCTGCTAATGTTTCCCACTGAATCCTCACCTCACAGCCTCCTGTGGTCTGAGCTTAATTGGTTCATGAGTTAACTCTTTGTTCACAGAGCAGCATTGCACTTGTAGTGAATCAATCTATGTTCCTACATAGGAACGTCTTATATCAGCTGTCAGCCCATTGGTCCATTGTATACAATGGGTAGCAGCAGCTCTCCAGAACTTCATACAGGGGTCTCTCGCAGTCGTACCTGAAGACTGAAGCTGAGGCCATCTGTATGCAAAGTAGATGCTCCACCACCAAGCTATGACCCCATACCTCAGAACATAAGAAGAGCCTGCTGGATCAGGCCAATGGCTCATCTAGTCCAGCATCCTGTTCTCATAGGGGCCAACCAGATATGTACCTGTGGGAAACCAGCAAACAGGACCTAAGCATAAGAGCATTCTCCCCTCCTGCCATTTCCAGTAACTGATATTCAGAAGCATTGGTACCTCTGACCTACTGACAAGTGCACATGATTGTGGTGGCTGCTTGAAATCTGCTAGTGTTTGGGAGAGGGACTTCCCATCTGTGACCACTTGTTTCTGTATAACTACAGCTCATGTGCCACAAAATCCTTGTTTGTGGCAACAGTATGCAAAGCAGCTAGCTCTTATGGCATTTCAAGAAGCCACAAGTCCTAAATGTCAGGCCCTATCCACAATACCAAGATTTACGTTCTTCCTAAAATTGTGCTAAATTCTTATAACAGTAACTTTTTTTCAAACACACACACCCCAAACTGTTTCCGGTATCAAGCACGTTTTCTAAAACAAAATACCAAATTACTAAATAGAGGTAATATAAAATTTAGCAGGCAACCCTGCCCCACAAACTTTTTTGCCCTGCCAGGAAAATCAGCAAGTAGAGAGGCTGTCCCTCGCCCCTTCTTCCTCTATCAGAAAAACCTGGCTACATGATCAACCATAGCAGGTTCGCACTGGAGCATAGAGCTTTGAATACTTAGAGGAGCAAACACTACACAATATCCTTGGAACAACATTGTCACCCAGGCAGAGAGAGGCAATTGCCCCAGATGCCCGGGGGCAGCACTGAAGAGCCCACCCAGCCATATCTCCTGAGCCATTCCTTTCCATTAGAGATCAGAGCTGTGTGGCCTGCCATACTAGCCTGCTGCCCTCAGGTGCCCCAAAGGGCACTTAGGCCACATCTACACCATACATTTCACACACATTTAAAACACATGGCTTCCCCCCGCCCCCAGAGAATCCTGGGAACTGCAGTTTGTTAAGGATGCTGGGAATTATAGCTCTGCCATAGGTAAAACTGCAGCTTCCAAGATTCTTCAGGAAAATGTCATGTACTTTAAACGTTTGGTATGGATGCTTCTCATTTCCCGTTGCCGAAGCAGCATTCAATCACCAGTCCAATCAGTTTCTGCACACATGAAATGGTTTGCTCCTGCCTCAGGCAGAACAATGTCTTGGGCAAGCCCTGACAAATCCATGGTGTGGTTCACTGGGGGAGCCCTGAGGATGCCCATGTACATTTGACAGGAAGGCCAGCAGAGGACAGGATGGCTGGGATTCAGGGCAAGCATGCACAGTCCCACTCTCTCAAACATTGTTTGAGAAGCCTAGGACATCTTCTGAGCAGGACCCAGATTCTGCCATTGTCCTGCCTAGGAGCGGAAGTGGGTATATCAGGCACAGAGCCCAGCATAGTATTTGCAAGATTGGAAATGGTCCACGGAGACTGGATTAGAAGGAACAAGCTTTGCTTACCAGTGGGCTGCTTGCAAACGACATATTGCACAAAAACGACAGTGGCCAGATCTCTTCCATGATGACTCTGTGACTCTTCTTAGCTTCCTTTTCCCGCTGGTTTCAACCTCAGCTGATCCCACTCCCTCATTCAACCATTTCTAAATCACTTCAGCTCCTGCACACATTACACACAGTATGGCCACCCCCGTAGCAGGTTTTGTGGGCTTTTCATTTTTGAAACCTGCCGATTAAACACAATGCCAATGGCTTCTAAGGAAGGCAGGGACATGCAAGGGAAAAAATGGTCCCCCATCCTCTTCCCTAATTAGTTAAGCAGGAAGATTGAGCTGAAGGCTGAAAAAAATATGACTTGTAAACTAACAAAGCCAAACAGCTCTTTAGGACCCTCTCGGCCTACTAACAGCTCTGTGGTGATATCCCTTGAAGAGGTTGGTTGCGTTTTGGAGGGAAATTCTCTTAACTTTTCCTAAAAGTTTTTCAGAAGTTTTTGAGAGAACCACCTTTTGGTTGTGCCCGTTTGGGAACCTGACAGAAAGTTAACTGAGTAGAGTAAAGTTTGAGGCCCAGGCCATTTCAAAGGCCTCCGTTGCCACAGCAACCGGCCCCCTCCCCCACCCAGCACCACCAGGGCTCCTTGCCATGTGAGCTTTGCTGTTAAAGGCTTGGAGGGGTGCTCAAGTCACCCACCACCACAGCTCACAGTCCTTTGTACACACTGTCTGTCAGTGGTCTGGTGAATTTATTGCATCACCAAGGCTTCTTGTGCCATTGCATGCAAATGATGCCTCTTGGGAGAAGAAAGTACCCCTAAAGGGGACACCCATTACAAAACCAGCATCCTGAAAAGTCAAAAGGCATACCTACCTCTGGGAGGATCCTTCATGCTACAAAGCTGATGATGAGCCTTAAAGCGACAGGGAGGAAAAGAGGCAGACCTCTGCAATAAGCAAGGCAAATCCACAGAACACAGCAGGGCTGGGCTACTAGTTTGCCTCTCCTACTTTTTGAAATCTGCATCCTCTGAGTGTTGCACAAAAACCTCAGGAGGGACCTGCTGCCCACCCCCTCTCCAAAACAGATTCTGGTGGGAGTGCCCCAAAACCAGATTCAAACTTGCCGGCCTCGCACACTCTAAAGCCAACGCCATTAACTACAAAATTTAGAAAAGAGAAATAGAAGCAAACTGAAATCCTGATTCCCCTCCCCTTTTCTCTTGCCCTTCCTATTCTGAGCCAATACCAATGCATTGAAAAGGTGGAGCTTGCCTTTTATTCCCATTAATCCCCTAACAATAAGAAATCAGAGAGGGATTTAGAATTTAAAAAGATGGAGGCTTTTGAGAGGCACTGTCAACGATCATGCTAAACAGAGAAAGCAAGGTCTTGGATCTCTTTATGCTAAGTAACCAACACTGGTGGCTGGCAGGAAAAGAAAGCTGGCTAACTGCTGCATGTCCTCAGCTTTTACAAGTGTGAGCAATTTATCTTAATGTTCAAAGACCAAAAGATAAGCTTTCCCCGCCCCCAACTGTGCTTGCATCATATACACAAGGAGTTGCTAATGCTGTGTCCAAATGTTGGCTCACCTCTGGTGCTTCAGAGGTTGCTGGAATGCCAACTTCCTTCAACCCCAGCCAGCATGACCGTTGACTAACTGGAGTCACTCCAGCAAAAGCCTAAAGCTCCAATGATGAGCCACTCCAGACATATACTGTTATGTACTGAAGTTCTCACCCTGGGCCAGCAGGGGGATACTGTAGATAGTTATGCAAATGAAGGATCGAAAAGTGACGTTCAGTGATTGGATAGTTTTATAATGTTGCAACAGTTACAATTGTTCTGTAGCTCTTATGTAAGCAGGCTGACTGAGCTCCTCAGTTTAGTTCTGTTCCAGCTTACAAAATAAAGAGCTGCTTCGGAGAAATCGCTGTGTCGACTGCTATGTCAACCCACAACTTAACATATACCAACATGCATATGGTGGATTGCAGTAGCAGCTCCCCTCCCTATATAAGTCTTTAAGGCTAGGATGGGAGGTCTGTAGCCTTTGATGTGACTTTGATTCCCATCAGCTCCAGCCAGCAATGCCAATAGAGGGAATAGGGCTTGTAGTCCAGCAACATCTGGAGGGCACTAGGAGTAATGGTTAGAGTGTTGGACTATGACCTAGGAGACCAGGGTTTGAACCCCCACTCAGCCATGATGGTGACCTTGGGCCAGCAACCATCTCTTAGCCTAACCTACCTCACAGGGTTGTTGTGAGGAATAAATGGGGAGGAAGAAAAAACATATACACCACCTTGAGTCCTTGGAAAATAAAGGTGACATATAAAGGAAAGGAAATAAATAAATATGCCATTATTTACAGATGACAGACCTCGATTAAAAATAACCATGAGAAGGGAAAGCAGGGGCTTTGAAGTGATCAATCAGCACTGGGCACTTGGACAAGCTGGTTACTGTCCACCATGGTGAGATATATGGTTTTCTATTTCTGATTTTATTCTTTTATTTGCTGTGCTTTTTGTTTTATTGCATATTTTAATTGAGAATGTTCTAATGCCCCAATGGAATGCTATTGTGCATTTTTATTATTGGTCAAATAGTTCTAAACAGCTTAGAAGTTATTTTGGCATATAGGTGTTCTATAAATTAATAAGAGATAAGAATTGTTTACATTAGAGTAATTGGTTGAAATGCAATTGTCATACTCAAAATTAACAGGCTTGTCAGTGTGGTGTAGTGGTTAAGAGTGGTAGACTCGTAATCTGGGGAACCGGGTTCGCGTCTCCGCTCCTCCACATGCAGCTGCTGGGTGACCTTGGGCTAGTCACACTTCTCTGAAGTCTCTCAGCCCCACTCACCTCACAGAGTGTTTGTTGTGGGGGAGGAAGGGAAAGGAGAATGTTAGCCACTTTGAGACTCCTTCGGGTAGTGCTAAAGCAGGATATCAAATCCAACCTCTTCTTCTTCTTCTTAAGTTAATTGATTTCAGTCAACTCTGAGTATGACTAATTGGGGCATCAACTATTTATTTCTAAATTTGCAACTCTCTATATAAATTAGTAGATTCTATGCAAATATGTGTGCCTTTTTTTTTTTAGTGGTGAGACAGTGCTTTTTCTCTTAAAAAATGTTTAGGGGTACTCTCATTTTCCTACTCATATTGAAATACTGCCCCTCAATGAGGCCAAACTTAGATTCACAAAATGTTTAGGGGTATACGTACCCCTGCGTCCCCCCAGAAAAAAAAGCACTGGGTGTAGATAAATGCAGTTAGCAGCAACTTGGTAGAGAAGTATTAAAAGCCACAAAGCACTCTGCTAGCCAAACAGGGAAACAAGAAAGATGACTGCTTTAATATGTTTTGTATCAGCTTGACTCAATAGTAAAGGGTCCCAGAAACACTGGCTGCTGTCCATATAAAAACTGCAACCTGCTTAAGAACAACTGAACTGTAGTAAGGAGAATAAAAGCCAGGAGGTTTGTTTGAGGTCTCCTCAGACTGCACCTCCTTTATTGAGTATGTTCTGCTCTGCTCATTGTCCCCGCTTTGTTGCATCCACTCTGCTTATTCTGTTTCTCCTTGTGTGTTCCCGAAAAGAAAAAGGAAAAAAGTGGGGGTGGAGAGAGACAATGCAGTGAATGTCTTGAAGAGAGAGGTCAAGCCTTCTTAAGCAGCTGAAGCCTGAGAGATTTTCTCTTTGATTCCCAAGTGGGGCACAAAAGCATCAGACTGCTCCCTCCCCAATGACACTCCCACTGGTACTTTCACACTCTGCGAAACAAAACCAAAGAAGTAAAAGGCTGTGGTGAAATAGCCAGTTGTTTAGTTTAGGGTTGGCGACTTCCAGCCTTTTTGCATCTTGAGGTTCATTTATATGCTTACGCTCAACCCGTGCTTCCAAGCAGTGATAAGTTCCAAGGGTGCACTAGGAATAAGGGAGAAATTTAGTGTCGTTTGCATTGTAATGAGAACCTCTGTCATTTCCAGTTTCCAAAACAATATACAAACAGATTTACCCTTCAGAAGTCATACTTTTCCAAAACCTGCAGTGCAATTCTCCATCCCCCACCAAAAGTGTACAAGAAAGCATATATGCTGAGAAAATGTGCCTAAACATTAATATATTGGTGAAAATATCGAAATACATTGTATTAGGGGAAATTCTTTGCAATGTGTGCTAAAATACAGACAAATTTCCAGGAGTTTTTTTGTGGGGGTTTTAAAGTCACAAACTGATGTGGAAATGTGGTGAACCAAACTTTACTTTGGAAAAACAAACTCAGAAAAGTCAAAATGGCATTGAAGGGTGCCTGGTTGCTGTGTCCCCAAGGCTTGGGAGGGTGGGTCAAGAAGGGTGCAATAGCCACACGCCCCTCAGGTGCATGGCCTGCCATGTCCCCACAACGCATCCCCCTAGCAGCCTTGCAAGGCTGGGATCCGGGCAGGGTGCTGCCACCCGGAGCCCAGCCAGTTGACAGCACTTGGGTCTGAAGCAAGTGTCCCCATGCCAGCACCCCCAGCAGAGCCCGACCCATGGTCATTTCCACAAACATTGGTTCCTCCAATGCTGGGAGAGGAGCACTGGGACAGGCCTGCTTCGCACCCCCTCCAAAATCCATGCCCAGCACCATGGCCCCTTCTGGCACCCCCCCCCCCTTACTATGCCACTGGCTGGGATTGGTGGTTAAGTGTTCACCCCACTAACCACTACAGTTTGTGGTTGGTTTGCACTGTCTCCCCAAGTCAAGGTTTGGTTTAGCATGTTTTGTGAACTAGCTCAATGTGGCTTAGTTCCGAGACAAGCAGTTTTGAGAGGATGAAAAGTCACTAAATAAGAAGTTCGATTTTTCTCAGGTGAACACTGCTCCTTAAAACACAGAGTGACTTGTAGCACAGGACAGCCCTGGGGACACAACCGTTCAGTTCATCCATTGCAAAACCAACACAGGCAGCTAATTCACTGCCTACCTCTTGAAAGGGACTTGAGGCTTTGAAGCTGGCGTCACCTGTCCACGATGTTGACAGCCATTCATCTGAGCCCACGGAACCACTTTGAAGTCTTCTTATGCCTCTGTTCACAAAAAAGCCCTTGTAGAGGAAAGAGACGGGATCACAAAACGTGTTTTCTGTGGGTGTCCACATAAATATTTAACAGCAGTGCTCATTTCTTACCCCTTTATATTTCAGTTTGCTAACCAATATCCATCCCATCATCTAGGAATAGAAGCATTTTGACAGGCTGTTGCCCCGGTTTTGTTGCTGCGGGTTGTTCTACTTAAGCTGTGTTTGTGTGTGATATTTGTTTTCAGATAGCTGGTACCGTCACTCTTTGCTAAGTAAAGTGCTATAAATACATAGAACCCTAATGAAACATTCATAAGTATATAGCTGTTTTGATAACAATACCTGTTAGGAAAGCAAGATATGGTGAAACTTTACAGTTTTTTAAAAACAACACAAATCCAGCCAGAGTTATGAAGGTGTTTGCTGATGGAACCTCATTGCTATCACTCCAGCCAGGAAATCTGTGCTGGCGTTCATTGTGGCACAACTTGTGCCACTAAGGTTCTTTGCAGTCCAAGCCTATATAGTATGTTGACTCAGAAAATCCAAGGATTTCATTTATAGAGTCCCAGTCCCTGTAGCACTGCTACCAAAGGACCTTCAAGTCAGGAGCTTCCTAAAGCAAAACATTTTGGCAGCTAAAGAAGGCTAAAGAGAAACATTTTGCTTCACGACTTTAATATCTGTTATGTAAGTCACTGTAGTAAATGTGTAGTTTTAGTGATTAACTACATCCTTCCATGATCTAGAGCAAACTTTTTCTCACTCTTTCCAAAAACACATTAAACTACAATATCAGACTGTCAAAACTACACAAATACAGTGATACCTTGGTTTACAACCATAATCCGTTCTGGAGGTCCGGTTGTAAACCAAAACAGGTTGTAATCCAAGGCGTGCTTGTGCCAATGGGGCCTCCCCCCCCAAAAATTGGTTGTAATCCAAAAAAATGGGTTGCAAATCCAAAAAAAGGGACACATACTTCAGGGTTTGACATGGTTGTAATCCAAAACGGTTGTAATCCAAAACGGTTGCAAACCAAGGTACCACTGTATACAGTAGTATGTAGAATGCATTCATCTGAACAGAGTTGTATTTTACCAACAATATATTCTTATATCCATTCTTCCAAAAGTCAAGGGCATTGTTTACTCATATTTTTTAAAAAAATCTTTTTGTATTCCATCTCTCAGTATAACATCACTTAACTTGGCTAATTGTCCTATATGCCATACTTTACTTATCTTCACACATTAAAATTTTCCCAGTTCTTATCTATAACAAGCTTGGCAGCTGTTAGAAATCATTGCAGGATATTCTTTCATTTTAATGGCAATACTTTTGAACTCATCACACACACACACCAATGCCACAGAACGGCACTCTTTCAGGGCCTTTTGGGGGGTAGGATGGGGCCCCCAAAGTTTATTTTATACTAGTGCCAATGATATCTCCCCATAATGGGGTGGGAATAGTTTTGCATCAATGTTGTAGCAGTGCAGTGGACATTTCAGGTGTGGGGAAGAAGCCGTTCTTCTCCCCGACAGGGAATGGAACTAAAAAGAAAAAGAATTATAGCCTAGGTGTGCTTCAGGGCCTAAAATGCAACAAAGAAGGAATCCTCCCCCTTTGCAAGCCAAAATTTCAAAAGCATCCCAGGGTCACTCAAATTTTCTAGATATGATCACAACAGGGTAATGAATGCAGGATTTATGCTTGAACAAAGAGGCTACTCTACACATAGGAAACGTTATTATTCTGAGAAAAAGGGGTGTTTCACTTTCCATGTTTCTTTTTATGGCTTAGATCCAGCCCCATGTTATGAACCTTTCAACATTACTCCATACAAGACAATACTCCACTTGTAGAGAGATGTCCGTGTAGCTCTCCTCCTATGAATTAAGAATTTCCTCTTATTTCCCCCTCCCTCCCTTAGTGACTGAACTGCACATGGAAGCCTTATTAACAGAATGCAGCCACACTGATCTGTCTCTGTACCAGCAGCCACTAGTTTATTGTCCATACAGTTTTATTATTTACAGCAACCTTGCCCGGACCTGCTGCCCTCCAGATGTTGTTTTATTCCAGCTCCCACCATCTCTGACCACTGACCTTGATGGCTGGGGGGTGATGGGAGCTGGAGTTCAGCAACATCTGGAAGGCACCAGGCAGAGGGAAAGCTGATCCAGACCATATTTTGCTTTGCACCTTTATTACTATCCCACTAATACCTGCATCTGATAGACATGGAGCAGGGGATAAGATACAGTTCATGGTGATATGTAAGGAATATATGGCAGAAGTAGCAGTGGCGT